TGCTCTGTGCAAAACTTGATATAAACTGCTCAATGTAATCACCAAAAATAACACTTAGGGCTGTCAGATCCATTTTATAGGTGAACGAGGTCCTGAGGTCTTAGAATGAACTCGAGAGCAAAGATCTGAACCCAAATTTGTCTACAAAACCACTGCGGCATATACCGTATCCCTTAAGGCAGGAGCGTCAAACTCCTTTTCACCAGGGGCCACATCAGCCTCGTGGTTGCCTTCAAAGGGCCAAATGTAATTTCAACTTAACAGTTAACCAGTAGTTTCCTAAAATTACTTTGGCCCTTTGAAGGCAAAATGAGGCTGATGTGGCCCCCAGTGAAAATGAGTTTGACACCCCTGCCTTAATGCTTAAGAGCACTTTTCAGCTCCACTAACCAATCAAAGCAATGTGTTAGAAGACACAGATGGTACCTGAGCTAGAGGGAGATGCCAGACCACTCACTACAAGATGGCATTAGAAGAAAAGTAGGATTTTGGGTACAGATTATTCAGCAACACATTGTACACTGGCCGAATTGTACATATACCAACAAACTCTGAGAGATTTAAAATTTCCACTTTGCAATGCCAGGTAGCTCAGCTGATTCGAGTGTATCCCCCTATTCACCAAGGTTGCAGTCCTATCCCTGGTTAGGCTGTGCACAAGAATCAACCAATGAATGCATAAATAAGTGGAACAATGAACTGATGTTTCTCTTTCTCCCCCTTCCTCTCTCTCTAAATCAATCAATAAAACAAATAAAAATTGAAAGTTAAATCGCAACTTTTATGGGAGAAATATAAATTAGCCAACACTGAAACAGTTAACACTCCATAAATAAAACCGATTTGATCCTAATGAAAGATACTATAGAAAAAAATGTAAAAAGTTATACCTGTTGCTTTGACAGCTGTAGGCCTGGTGGTCATGACTGGTTTTGGAGGGTTCTGAACAACTCGGGGAGCCTCCACCACCACTTCCTGCTCATCTGGATTTAGAGGACGAACAAAAGAAAACTACAGTCAGACAATGGACCAGAGAAACACTACAGGCAACACAAACAAATCTTTGATTTGCCCTTTCAAGTCTAGATCTCACTTTTTAAAAGGCAGTGTATAACCTATCACTAACCAAAATAACTGAGATAAACAAGCAAAACTAGAATCTTCTACTGGCTTAACATTAATAATCTGAACATCATAGCTCTGACTGGTGTGGCTCAGCTAGCTGGGGGTCCTTAGGCAAAGCCAAAGGTCACTGGCTGAAATCTGCCTCAGGCCACATGCCTGGGTTGGGGGGTTGGGTCTCTGGTGGGGGTGAGGCAGCTGATCCAAGTTTCTCTCCCTCTCTTTCTACTCTTCCCCTCTCTCTAAAAATAAATGAAATCTTTAAAAAATGAATCTGAACATTATAAATAAAAATTACATCCGAAATAATCGCCACACACACACACTCTGAATGTTCCCCAGGCTACCACCAAGCCTTTATGGCAAGCACAAGCACTTTCTTTCGAAAAAGCTCCTCAATGTGATTTTTTAACACCTGAAACGACTGCAGCTTCTCCGGCGTCTAGTCCCTGGATCAGCGCTGTCGAGACACCTTTTTTTTTTTATTTAAAAAGTTTTTTTCCGTTGTACACATTTTTCCGTTGTTTACATTCACTATTATTTTGTGTTAGTTTCAAGTGCAAGGCATAGTGGTTAGACCATCTTATTAGTTAACCTTAATCCAAGTACCAGTCCGGGAAGAAACACACAAGTATTGTACTTGGGGTACTTGGGAACCCCAAAAACCGCACTTAAAAAATCTGTGGAATAACTGCCAATTTGGGATTACCGAAGCTTTGGATGACATATATCGTAAAAAAGCCTTGCTCACTTCCGAAGGTTTCTCTCGGTTTCAACAAAACGAGAAGAGCAGGTGACGTGTAAAAAAGGCCACGTTCCAGAGTCACCAAGCCGTGGATGGGTAAACGCATACCCCACATCGACCCCGTAAGTTATCCAAAACCGAGTGCGGACATTAACGAGGCACAGCGTGCCGGGCCAAACCCTGGACCAGAGATGGCGCCTCTGGGACCCGCGCGCACAGCTCCGCGGCCCCTTCCGTCGCCTTGAGGCCTGCAGCGTCCTCCTCTCAGGCCCCACGCAGCAGGCCTCAGTGCGGACGCCGCCCGCCCGAGTTCCTCCTCCTCCCAGGGCCCTCCCTGCCCAAGAGACTAGGCCGCAAGCCCCTCGCTGGAGTTTCGGACGCCCCACCTATAGGCCGGGGCCCCTCGCGCACCCTTACCTTCCGAAGGCGAGTCTTCTGGGGCGGCCGCGGCGGTCACCGCGGTCGGCGGCGGCGGAGCCGCCGGAGCTGGCTGGCTGGGCGTCGCCGCCGGGGTTGGCTGGCTGGGCGTCGCCGCCGTCGAGTCTGGCTCGGTGTCGAGTTCCGGCTCTGGGTCCCTGCTCGGCGTGCTGCTCCGGGGACCCGGCGGGGAGAGCTGCAGGATAGGCCTACGGCCGGGTACCGCCCTGGACTTCTTCCCCATCGCGAGCCCAAGCGCGAGCCGCTCGCGTCAGGAAGCCGAGAAGGGCGGCGCTCGGCGCGGCGCTGCGTAATCAATATTCATACACCGCGACACCGCCTCCTGCAAAGGTCCGATTTTTTAACGGCGGAGCGCGCGCGCGCGCGCGCGCAAGCGCCTTAGGCCTTGCAGGTTCTTCCGGCTCCTCACCCTCTCAGTGGGGGAAGGGAGGACTTTACCCATAACGCTACGCGATTGGCTATTTTGGCCCATTGAAGGAGCCGGTAGCCAATAAAAAGGAAGAAAAGGAGAGTCAAGCCAATAGTACGTAAGGGCTTGAGTTTAGATTTCCCTAGCACCTCGGGCCCCGCCCATGCGTCTTTTGTGGAGTCTTTTCTCTACCTCCTTGTCCTCCATGTTGTACCTGTTCTGTGCTTACTGTTCGTTGTCATTTGTCCCTTAGGAAGATGTGCTGCTTTCCAGGACTTCCTCCAAGTTTCTCATTATTGTGTATTAACGAGGGGACTTCCCCCTCATTATTGTGGGTTAATTTGGGTATAGCACTGAACAGTAAATATAATAGTGGGTCTTTTATGCGTTTGTGAATATTTTCCTTAGAGTACAAAGATCATGTCTCATTGTGTTGCTTGTCAGCTGGAAAAAAAAATCACTAGGAATTACATTGTGTACGAGGTAGAAGCCCAAATTGTGGCGATGGGATACGGGAGTCTTCCCAATCTGGCCCACTGGTAGCCTCAACCTGCTTTATGTAGCTTTCTTTGGAACCCAGCCCCTCGCTCCCCACCCCCGCCCCAATTCTGGAGTCAAACGCTTGGAACACCATCTCACCTTCAATCCTTCATAGTCCGGAATAACCCACCACGTGGCGATTTTTTTTTAATTCCTCAAGACCCAGTGCAGGCATTAACTTGCCCTAGCATTTAACATTTATAGTTAGTACTCGTTTACCCCTTCTAAACAGCTTACGAAAATATATACTCCTGGTTGCTCAGTTCTTACTAAGCATCTAACATTCACCCAGAATTTATTGTCAGGCACTAAACGCTTTACATGTAGAATTGCATTTAATTCTCACAACCTTATGGGGTAGATATCATTATCCTCCCCTTATGGGAGAATCCTCAAATTGACCCATTAGTCACTCATGAAAACATCAGAGAACATAGTAAGAGGACACAAATTTCGTGAAATCTTTCTTTTGCTTATAAATGTGTATATACAGTAGGTCAAAAGATACTTCTTGCTGCAGTTGGAAGCCACAGGTTTACAACAGTGGGAGGACAAGAACTCTCCAAGATATAATGTAAATATGGTATTTCGTTAAATAAATTTATTGAATTTAGAGAGGCAGAAACATCAATTTGTTGTTCCACTTATTTATGCATTCATTAGTTGCTTCTTGTATGTGCCCTGTCCAGGGATTGCACTGGCAATTTGGGGCATCAGGATGATGCTCTAACCCAGGTTAGGAACCTCGCAGCACAGCAGGTGAGCAGTGGCCCAGGGAATCTTTACCTGCATTACTGCCTGAGCTCTGCCTCCTGTCTCCACTACCTCCACCCCCTTAGTGGGTGGAAAAATTGTCTTCCAGCAAACAGGTTCCTAGTGCCAAAAAGGTTGTGGCTTTTAGAAAATGCTGTTCTAACCAACTGAGTGACCCGGTGATTTTTTTTTCAAATACACAACGTTCCACAAATCTGCCTGTCTTCCTTGTATAGGGGCCATGCTAATCTTCTCTGTATTGTTCCAATTTTAGTATATGTGCCACCAAACAGCACTAAATATGGTGTTGATAATATAAAAATTAAAATCTTATGAAAAGTCAAGGAGCATTTGAGGTCGTGCTCCCTAGCATGTATCATCAGTTTGGCTCAAGTAAATGCATGAAAACTCTCTGAAACAAATAAAACAACTCAAGAAAGGTCAAAGGGCATACAAGGAAATAATATACAGCTTATTTCCTTAAAAGAGAAATTTTAATATACAGACTAAAATGCAAGATTTTATTTTCCACTTTCCCCAAATTTGTGGGTATGACTGCTTTTAAATTTGTCCAGGAACATTTACATTAGACTGACGGTATGATCAAGTCCAGCTTGATTATCATAAATCATAGAGGTTAACAGAATTTACTTTGAAAATCTGTTACTTTTTTAAAAAGATTTTATTTATTTCTAGAGAGAGGAGAAGGGAAGGAGAAAGAGGGAGAGAAACTGCAATGTGTGGTTGCCTCTTACACGCCCCCCACTGGGGACCTGGCCAGCACCCCAGGCAGGTACCCTGATTGGGAATCGAACCCGAGACCCTTTGGTTCGAAATCCACTGAGCTACACCAGCCAAGGCAAAAATCTGTTACTTTTATAGATGATGGATTTCTCATTTTTTTCTTAGCTAAGAGTTTATTAAACTTTAGCTTCAGAACCAGATTTAAAATAAGTTATCTTCTTTGACACCTGTCTTTTTTTTTAGGCTTAATTTAGGCAAGTTATTTAATACTTTATTGAAGATCATACAAAAACTCCACAATAAATAATGGAAAGTGTACGTAAAATCATTAGCCTCTGCAATACAGAAAATACATGTCAATTCTGGACCAAAATAATTCCATTGAAATACAAAACGTGAGAGGGAAGGATGAAAGGATTTACAGTGACTGTGTTTGGTGGTCAGCTACAACAAACCAACAACCATCACCCATTGTCGGAAGTGTAGGTGGGTTTTAATTTGCAGATAAAGAATGTCTTCGGTAGTTTAAAAAAATATAAACTCTAAAAAAGCTTGTGAATCATATACAAAAGCAGCTGTTTGAGACCAAGTTTGAAACCAGAAACTGTGTTAGCACCGCCAGCAAGCACAGGTCCTGTGCCTCATCTGCCCTCCTCCTCTTGCGTGGAATGCAGACTCAAATGCTGTACACCTCATCTACAGGTGTAAAAGTCAGCCTGGAGTACAGGGCTCCTGTAGAGTAAAGTCTTCAGCCCAAAGAGGCACCAAGCGGTTACAAAGGCTGGGCAACCATCTGGATCACAAGTTCCGACGATATAATAAATCCCGGGTTGCCTTGTCAACTTTTTGCTGGTAGTCCTCCAATTTGTCCAGTATTTTCTGAGACAGCTGTAAGAAAGAAATTATTACGGAGTACGTCAGTACTGAAAAAGACTGAGGTTATTAGTCACTTTGACTTTACCAACCAGACTCCCCCTAATAAAAATGTTAGCCACTCTGCTTCATTTGATCATTATTCAGCATAGGAGTCTGCTTTGTGACATTACTGATAAAACCAGACTTCTCTTATATAGAATTCTCCAATCCTATTTGTCTAATGAATTTTCTAATTATGCAAATCACAGCAGTATTTTCAAGAAAAGCGTTACCAGCTCTCTTCCTAGAACCAGAGGGGCTATATCTTATTTATCGAATCACTTTATGCAAGGATTGGGGCAGCAAGTTAAGGGCAACATGTGACTTCTGCCCTCCCCTTACTCCCTGAGAATCAGAGAGCCAGCTGTCAGGTGTAACTGCTGGTGCAGGTGCACAAAGAGGAAAGGGCCGACTCACTGCGATGTTGTGACTGTTGGCACTGTTCTCTCCCAGCACTTGGAGAAGCTGATCAATGGAAGAGTATGGGAGCCACACCATTGGAGCAGTTGCAGACAGTGGAAACTGAAAGGAAAAGTATCTTTTAAAGAAAACCAGAAAAGTGAATAGTTCCTTTCACAGGCACTGATAACATAAAATGCTTATTTTTTTCACAATGAGAAACCGTAAGTATGCGTGTGTACACACACACACACACACACACAAATTGAACCCCCCTTCTCTTTTTCAACTGGGGAACTTATCCTTTTGTCAATTAAATAAAATTATTTTTTTGCTTGCAGTTTTTAAAAAAAATTTCTTCAAAGATTTTATTTATTTATTTTTAGACAGAGAAGAAGGGAGGGAGAAAGAGAGGGAGAGAAACATCAATGTGTGGTTGCCTCTCAAGTACCCCCTACTGGGGAACCGGCTTGCAACCCAGGCATGTGCCCTGATTGATAATCGAACCAGTGACCCTTGGTTCACAGGCCAGAGCTCAATATGCTGAGCCATACTAGCCAGGGCTAAATCAAATGTATTTTTAAATTCATGTCATCTTTTATCTTAAAGAAACCCTAAGGCTTCTAAGTTTATCGTATTAAGGATAAACACACTCAATAACACTTCCCTAAATTTTCAAAGAATGATACTATTTCCAGTCTGAAATTTAGATTCAAATTATCTAGGGGAAAAAAAAGATTTGGAAAAGGAAAGTTTAACTTTCAAATTTCTGAATATGTTCCTGAGAGTTCAGGAGCTTAGCTCTGTAGTCACCTAAACTGGAACTTTAGACATGGCTCTTCTATCTATGTACCATCTGTGTGAGCTTTGGAAGCTTTTCTCCTTAATGGTTTAAAAAAAGGAAAAAAAAAAAAAAGGGATTAAAACAATCCCTGACAAGCTGCTGTAAGGATTAAAGAAGAAAACACTGGTGGCGATGCAGCATAGTCTTCAGCACACACAGAAAATCATTTTGTTCTTATGTACCTCCTTCCTCCAAATATTAACTAAAGCCCCATTCCTTTGATGGAGAAAAATAAAATGTATCCCCATTTTATAAACAGGGAACTGAAGATTCTTAGAGTGCCAGTCCCTTATCTGTAGAAAACAAGTTGTATAACTACTAACAGTAAAGGTTAAATCAACTATTCTAAGTTCATTTATTTTCAGATCCTGGTTTTACTTAGTGTGACAATACAGAATTAAATGAAATGTGTATACATGCCTACCTCAATTCCAAAGTACTGGTGTCCTTTTCCCAGAACAGCATCCACATATTCTGATACCAAATCCACAGCTTCTTCCAAAAGGTCATAGTTTAAGTACAGACGGAGCAACTCAGCGGCATCGACCTTCTGTAAAGTCAGTGATTATGAACATCCACCTGATTCCATCTTACCCAGGCACAGACCGAAGGATGCTGAGTGTCTGATTCCGTGGCATTTATACTTGTCAATATGAATAAATGAGCATCTTGGTTTAAGGTTTGGGTTCCCAACAGCCTCGTTACCTCTGGAACCTTGTGAGGCCCTATCTGTTAAGTGGTCTTCCTCTCCTATTTTGTGATGTAAGATACATTCTAATTCTTTCCTACTGAATTGTGCTTTCTGCATTCTGATTGGATCACAACCAACCTTTACCATCTTAGCTGCCTTCTCTACTTTCAAACCCCCCCCAAAATTAAATTTTCCTGATTTAAGCTTTACATTCTCTCTTTCCCTACCCTTCCAAGGTATTTCAGATACCTTTAGAAGCTTGTTAAAATATACATCCTGGTTCGTAGCTCCAGATAATTTGGTTCTGTAAGTATGGGATAGGGACCAGGAATCTATATTTTGAAGAAGTCCACTATCCAAATAATTCTGATGCAGGTTGTCCAAAAACCCAATTTTGACAAAAGCCAAAAGAGACACTGCTGCAGTAATTTGAAAACTACTCCATCAACTCCTGTGAATCCTCTGAGTAGTGAACAATAAATACTGTGTCATGCGCAGGAGTCACTGTTCAAAGTATCCACTCACTGTGCAGTGAGCAGACACACAGGCATTAACTTACTCACTAAGCTGCAGAACTTTAATCACTCAGTACGCCATGTGGAATTGAAATGAAATTGTTTTTAGCTAAGATTGAGAAGCTGCCCAAAGTACATATGTAAGTCAGTATATTTCCGTAAATTATCATGCTTTTTAAAATCATCTGAAGTTATTCAGAATAATAAAGATCGGCTTCTTACTCTCTCCAAGTGAAGACACCCTTACCTTGTAACTGTTTATGAGCCAGCTAGGCAGAGGCACTCCGTGAGACAGGAGCTTGTTGATCACGCAGTGGTGGTACAGGTTATTCTGGACTTTGTGCCTTTCTAGGTACGTGGACAACAGTCGCCACGCTTCATCTGTGGCACTTGGTAAAAGCAGAAAGGACTACTGAGTTACAGATTCTTAACTGCTATTTATAATACCATTGCAAGCATGTACTTACAAGGGAAAACACCTTTAGAAGCTCACAAGTGAATTAGTAATACTGCTACAAGGCACCTAATATTACCAGGGCCAATGTGACTTCAGGGTAGTACTCGAAACTAGATGTCTTGGAGTTTTCATTTTCCTTCCTACTAATCACATATTTACTCGACTATATAATTCATTTAGCTTCTTTGTTTCAAATTTCTAAAATAAGAATAATGGCTTAGATTACTGTTGCCAAACCTGATCAAGCATTATAGTCATACAGAAGTTCTGATTTAGAAGGCTAGGGCATTATCTCATAATCTGTATTTTACTAGTGATTCTGGTATGCTGATTTAGGAGTTAAAAGACTTCCAAATTGTAAAATGCTCCAACTGTAAAGTGGTAAGCTGCATAATACAAATTGTAAGTGCATTTCAAGGAAGAGAAGTTTACTGAGGGTTAGGGCTGTCAGAGAAGGACTGTGAGAAACTGAGGTTAAGTGGGTGCCCTAGGGAAGCAGGAGAGACACTAGGGCTGTACCTGGATTCCTTTGTGGTGATGACTGATGAGAGCTGATTGGCTGCTAGCCAGGCCCAGGCTTCTGCTTGTGCTGCCTCTCCTCCTAACTGCAACTTGATGCACCTGCAGTGCAAACGGTCCACACACAGAAAACTAACTTGCTGAAAAGCACCACCTTATTTTGTTAGGACAGTTAGAGATAAGACAACCTGAGCTCTAGTCTAGTCAATTCACTGCTGGGAGACTGGCTCTTCTCTCTCCTCACGGCCACATAACTGAATGACCTACAAGGCCATCAACAAGTATTAGGAGATAACTGACTTTCAAGAGAAAACTGGTGTTGAAAAATTCTGTAAGTTAATATCCCCAATCTACAAACTACTTGACTAATCTTTAGGTATAAGTTAACTTCACCAAGGAGTATTTTTTGATTGATTTTAATTATTTTATTGTTCAATTACTGTTGTCTGTAGTACTTTTTAATAAGGCTTTCAGGGCCTAATAGCTGTCCTAAAGGACTGAAGAGGACACATGACCTGCCTCAAAAGAACAGGTTGTGGGAATATGGGTCCAAGAAAGCCAGATCTTCTCAGGAGAAACTATAAATCAGTATTTAAAAAAATCACAATCAACTAAATGAAATAAAAAAAAGAACAAACCCTTTGTGCTGACTAAACTAAAATACTGGCTTATTGACCCCTGCCTCACACTGAGCAACAGCACTTTTGCATTAGAAAATTAACACTATAAAGACAAGGGCATACACACTTGAAAGCAAGCCCCTCAAAGACTGGCGTTAAGGGAAGCTTAAACGTCTGACAGAGTGATATGGCGGTGTCGAAAAGGCCGGCTTGAACCAGGAGAGTGACCATCTCCTCTGCTGACGAGCTTCCTGTGGAAACGGAAAAGCGCCACTCAGTGCGACCAGAGGTATGCGCTAACGAGCCCCCCAACTGTCAGTTGAGAGTATCTCAGAAGGACAGCATGCTTTGTAGCCGCCTAGCATGGCCCTCCAGCGTGCTGCTGGCACTGACAGACTGCTGCGTCCCCACCTGCAACAGCGACTGCCGACGGCTCGTGCTGAGCCAGCGCCAGGCGAACGCGAGCCAGGATGCACTCTTTCTCTAGGTCTTCCAGGTCCAGGATTTCAATCTGCCGATTTGCTGCCAGCCAAAGACAAACAATTTCAACTCTCCAAATCAAAGGAAGTACCTACAGACTAACTCAACCTAAATGCAAAAGAAGTACCTACAGACTAACTCAACCTGTCGATTTCCACTAGATATTATGTAACTGTGCATTTAATTTCCACGGTGAGAAGGCAGGTGGCTCATAAAAGCTAACTTAAAGCAGCATCCTGCTTCAAACGTACAGCTGAGTCAAATGAAAGCAGTACTTGAATCACAGCTGCAGTGAGGCGGTGCTTACAAGGTGTTTTACATATTATTCATCTAAATCTTAGAACCATAAGATACTGTCATCTCTATCAGTAAGAAAGGAGCATGCCCAAAGCGAGAGAGGCGGAATTAAAGCCAGGTGTCCCACCCTGGAGCCCAGGCTCTCTAAGGAAGGGCATCATGCCTCCGTAGTGGCGTCCAAGGAGCCTGACAAAACAAAAGTCTGCTACTAAGCTGATTTAAATGCAAGAAACGAAACACACTTTTTAAGCACTTTCATTTCTCATACAGCCATACAAAGTCTTCAAAGTGCCACCAACCAAACTTTAGCAGATTAATATATTGAAAATACACTGAAAAAGGGAACTTTACAATAGTCCTACAATGTAACTACTATACATATATAATATACAGTATACTACAATGTAAGTACATTTAAACAGCAAAACAACACTCTGATACGACAACAGAATCACCGTCCAGCGAAGAATCGGTGCGACCCCCGACTCACCTGGGGCGGCGGTGCACTCTCCATCATGGTTCCTCTTAGGGGACGCGCCAGGGCGGTCATACTGAAACGACAGTCACTTAACTGTGAAAAATCACTGTTTTAATTTGCATCCAGGGCTTTCCTGCTTCAACTCTCGCAACAGAAATTATTTAACCAGCACAAGTCTTCTCACAAAGGCACTGCAACTGTCAGACGAAAATGGAATGTCTGCCAAGGTGGCTCATTTACTCTAACACGTTGCTGAGTCTGACGACATGGATTTCTGGTCTCCGTATAAATCACCTGACTTTCCCTGGTTGCAGATATATTCTCCACTCAGAATTCTGGGAAACTGCTTACTAAATGTAGGAGCTATACAATACAAGTAGCTGGGGACATATGACTACATCGGCATGACCAAAAAAACTCGAAGTGTACATTCTTTAAAATAGTCACTGTACACTGAATTAACACAAATGAATGAAGTAACGGCAGCCACTACCATTTATTGAGCACTTTTTGTGGGCCAGGCACTGTTACAGTTCTAAGCAATCTGCACATAAATTATCTCATTTGAATACCCTAACAATTCTGTAAGGTAGACATTAATATTATCATCATCTCTATTTTATGCAAGAGAATAACTGGACAGCAAAAGATTAATTTGCCTGAAGTTAGTCAGGTCTCTCCAACTCCAAAACTGCTCTGTAACACTTCTTCCTACAATGATTCTGAGCTTGGGAACTAACAAGGCAGTAATATAGACCAACCAAACTGCTGCAAAAATAGATTAAATTCCCAAATATCCCAAGAGAAGTTTTAAGTGACACAAAAGAAGACGAGGTCATAGTTTTGAAAAGACCAAACCAAATAAATAAATAAAATGATCCCTAAACTCCAAGACAAAAAGTTTTCATACCACTGCACCAGATGCTGGCTGCACAATCCATGCGTATTCCGGGCGAATAAGTCGTAAACAGTTAATAGCAGCCAGATAACAGTTGCCTTGCTTCTCAAGTCCCCGGAGAGTTCGAACCTCTCTGCCGAGACGCATTCCGTACTCAAACATCGCTGTGCCGGCTGTGAGGCAATAATAAATCAGACAGCAGAATTTCTGAAATGGGTTTCTTTAGAGATATACAGAATTTGCTTTACTTATCAAATATGAAACTGGAAAACAAAACTGAGTTTTTAATTTAAAACCACACACACGCACACACACAATCACGTTGGTGAGGATGCGGAAAAATGGGAGCCTTGTGCAGTGCTGGCGGGAGTGTAAACTGGTACAGCCACCATGGAAGACAATATGGCAGTTCTCAAAAAATTAAAAACACAATCACCTCACGATCCAGCAGTTCCACTTTTCAGAATATACCCTCCCAAAATTGAAAGCAAGGTCTTGAAGAGGTATCTGTCCACCCTTGTTCAGTATGCACAATAGACAAAAATGGAAGCAATCCAAGTATCATTCCATGGATAAATAAAATGTGACATATACATATAGTATCATTCACTCTTAAAAAAAACCCCCAAATTTTGACATGATACAACATAGATGAACCTTGAAGACATCACATACACTGAGTGAAACAAGCCAGTCCCAAAAAGAAAAATGTATGACTCTAACAGCGACATTCACAGGCAGAAGGGGATGGCGGTGGTTGTCCGAGGCTGGGGGACGAGGGCTGAGGGCTCGGGGACTTGTTTAATGGACAGAGTTTCAGTTCTGTGAGAGGAGAAGACCTTGGCGGATCGGCGGCCCAGTCACGTGAATGTACTCAATACTGCTGAGCTGCACACTTAAAAATGGTTAAGGTGGTAAATGTTAAATGAATTTTACTAAACTTAAAAAAAAAATGGTTTCTCAATGCTAATGACTTTTGCTTTGGAAAGTACAATGTTAATTATTTCAAGTAATAAATTACCAACTTGTGTTTCAACACAAGATTAAAACAAATGGGAAGTTGTTTAATGAGTACAGAGTTTCTGTTTTGTAAGACTGAAAAGAGGTCTGAAGACTGGTTACACAGCAATGTGGATGCGCTTAACGTGACTTAAAAATGGCTAACACTGCACAGTTTGTGTGTACTTTGCCACAGTGAAAAAAGCTCCCCCCAACTATTATGTAAACTGCTATTTCTGACTATTATTAGGTCCTACATTCCCAGATAGGACAGAAGACTAGCTTAGGGAGCTTGTCTCAGCTGAATAGTCACCTACCTCCACCCAGGATTCTGAGACCAAGAGATGTGTGGATGCTCTGTTTAGGAACTCAGACTCTTATTTTTTAACAATACTGTAGCTACACAGGTTGATTAAATATTGAATAATACATTTTCCTAAGATAGCATGGGACTCCAGAAACCAAAGAATATTAAAAAAATTTCTTTCAGTTTTTGAATGAAACTATTTTTCATTCTAACAAATTAAAAACATTTTTTAAAATGTATTGATTTTAGAGAAAGAGGGGAGCATCAGTTTGTTGTTTCACTTATTTATGCATTTATTTGTTGACTCTTGTGTATGCCCTGACCGGTATTAAACCTGCAACCTTGGTGTATCAGCATGATGCTCTAACCAACTGAGCTACCTGGTCAGGGCCCAAAAATATTTTTGAGTGCCTGTAATATGTAGGACATTTTGCTAGAGCAACAGTATTGCTCCAGAAAAACCTAAACATTTATTGGTTAACTGGTTTTAACCAGGTCAGCTAAGGGATGTTATTATTGTGAAACCAAACAATGGGAGATCTTTATCTTTAACCCTTCCTGTATGATTCAAGAAAATAAAAGAATGTGCACACATGCTTTTAGGCAAAGAGACAGATTCATGGATATGGAGAGAGTTTTGATGGTTGCCAGACGGGAGGGGAGGTGTGGGGGAATGGGTGAAGAGGTGAGGGGATTAGTAGTTACAGAATATCATGAGGACATAAAGTACAATACAGGAAATGGAGCAGCCAAAGAACTTATGCACATGACCCATGGACATGAACAATGGTGGGGGCACTGCCTGAGGGAGTGGGGAGTGCTGGGTGGAGGGGGGGACGGGGAAAAATTGGGACGACTGTAATAGCATAATCAATAAAATATAACTAAAAATAAAATAAAACGAGATAGTAGACACACATAGAAGGCCATCTTACTGGAAATGCATCAAAAGTGTTCTAGAATTGGAGTGCTTATCTTTAAAGCTAACAGGTAGTCTTCAAAAGGGTGAAGCTACCCTTGCCCTTAAACATAATTTCCCCAAATGCTTGTAGAGAACATTTGTCCAGTAGCAAAAATAAAGTAAAAACCACACAGGTCAAATACATAATGTATTTGTAAAACATGATGAGACTGACAAGGCTGCCTCCAACACAGGCCGTCAGCTCCAGTGCTCACCCTTCCGGTAGTTGTGGCGATAGATGTGAAAGGCATAGAGAAGCTCGTAGTAATTATGAGTCATGAGGTCCACAGCCCTGGCCCGTGATTCAATTATTCCCACAACCTAAGGACAGGGAAGTGATCAGACATCAAAGTTAGTGGCCATCACGACAACCAACACAGTCGTGCCCAGTCATCGGTGAATAAATAAAGTTACCTCATTATGCAGATTGACATAGGGAAACTCGACAAGATCCTGCAGCTGCGAGCGTTCACAAAGAACGACCACCAGCTGCCGTAAACAGTCTAACTGCCTAAGGAAAGAAGAGAAGAGAAAAGGGAGATGAGGGTAAACTGTCTTTGTGGGTTAAACGGTGTCAGTAAATGGCCTCCTTGAAAACAGACTGAGACTGACTAACCTGCTGGAGTCAGGAATTTGGGTTAAAGCTTCATACGCTTGGCTATTGTGACCCAAATCCAAATGATGTTTGAAAATGCATGTCCTTAAAGTGGCCTAAGTATCAAGTATAGGGGAAAAAAGATTAAATATAAATTAAATCATCACATTCACGACAAACCTCAAGGGAAATGACTAGGTTATATTTAGTTCTTACCTGACTCTTCCAGTCATCCCCTGCTTCAGTTACTGCTGACGTAGCCAACTGAATAACTAGTTCAGGCAAACCAACAACATCGAGTAGGCGCAAAACCTACAGAGAAATAGAAGAAACTTCCATTAAAATTAATATGCTAATGCACTCCAAACTGAGATATGATTTTAAGTCCATCAAATAACTGGGTAAGATAAAGATTAAATCAAAGCTGCTGACAAGGTAAGCATGAGGATTATTTGGGCAACATTTGAGATTTTCCTTTAGATTCTGCTGTTAAACAACATGATTGTTGTAAAACTTCCTATTGGTCTTTTTTTGTTCACAGCTCTACACTCAATGTTTATCACACAGTAAGCTCTCAGTATTTGCTGAGTGAAGGAACAAATATAATTTCACTGCTAACTTTTTGTACTGTTTAGGCCATAGATGAATTTAAAGCCTAGTTAATAATATTAATACCATAGTCTTATAAAAACCCTAAACAGGTTACATTAATGTTTGACATAACCCACTTCCAGTACAAGAATAGCGCTCGCTCTCCAAACTGTTTAAATTGTTCGCCTTGTTAACGGCATCTGTGCACACTCTAGACACGTGCTCATGTGCTTCCTTATATACACCCACTTCTCTCAGACATGTGTATGAAACACTCAAATTTATAGACAGATAAAAATAGTATAAAATTATTTTTACTTATTACTATTTATTATTAAGTTTTCTTCATTAACAGTATAAAAACATCTTTTTGTTCTGGATACTCAGCTTTTTCTAAGGTTATACTTTTCACTCAAGTGCAGCATGTTTAGAAATGTGCACAAACCCTAAGGACACAGCTGGCTGACTGTTCACAAAGTAAACACGCCCGTGCCACCAGCACCCAAAATGAGAATGATAATGTATCAGCACTCCAAGTCTCCGGTGTGGCTCCTTCCAGCCACTACTGACTTCGTTTTTTTTTTTTTATTCCTCACCCAAGGATATGATTTTAGAGAGAGAGGGAGGGATAGAAAAAGGGAGAGAAACATCGATCAAATGCCTCTTGTATGTGCCCCAGCAAGGGACTGAACCCCTGGCCTAGGCAGGTGCCCTGAGTGGGAATCAAACTCATGACTTTTCGATTTACAGGATGACGTTCCAACCAACTGAACCACACCAGTGAGGGCACCACTACTGACTTTTAACAGTTGTTTTTAATTTCATAGAAACAGAATCTAATGGTATATGTTTTTTGTGTATCTGACCTCTTTTGCTTAACATGTTTGTAAACTGATCTATGTTATCACACGCAGCAATGAATTTCATTGAAAGAATATATACCATAATTCACTGATCCATTCTGTTAATGAATACTTGGGTTGTTTCTAATATGACTTTTATGACTATGCTTGGAACATAAATTATACAAATCTTTCGGTAAATATGGGCATCTGTCTGGATCTATTTAGAACTGCGATCACTTGGTCTTAATGTGTCAATGACTGGAGCTACTAGATACTGAGTTTCCCAAAGCGGCTGTAACCAATCAAAGCGGCTATACTCCACACCACAGGTGATTAAGATGCTTGACGTCTTGATAGTTTTCATACTATCTTGAATTGACATTTCAATTCAAGGTACACTCATTTAGATCTTAAAATAGCATCCTGAAAAGTCCAATAGTTTTTGGCTGACTTGTCAGATCTGATTATGGACGGTCACTGTTCTTACCTTGCAGTGTGGCTGACGAAGAGCCTGTATCAAAGGTAGAAGTGTCAGCCCTAAATTTTCCTCACTTTCTTGTATTTTGTTAGTATCTCCAATATGGTTTCTTTGCAGGAGTTTTTAAAAGCCATGTCCATATTCTAAAGGTGATTTTCATTAAAATTAAGGAATATAATGTATAAATCAATTTAACCAGGCAAACCTAACCTACTGAAATGAAGTGGACGAGGGTGCCACTATGTACCCCCACCCTTCGCTGAGACACTCACTCTTCCCTCAGATGTCTACCTGGAGGCTAAGTGACAAATGACCACTTGGTAAAAGGGCCAAATAAAGGCATCAGAGTCAATCTTTATGATAAACATTAGCATATCTTGATCTATTTCTTCTGTGAGTGAGAGTTCCAGTATTTTCTTTCCAAGTACCACTTTGGGGTCTACCGGAGCAGTGATTCTTAATGTTTTCTTAATCAGTAAGTTTCTTCTAACAAAAGCTATGGAGCCTCTCCACAGAAAAAAATACAAACAACATTTTATACCTAATTTCAGGGGATATACTGATGACTTAAATTCATCTGGCTTCAGATTAAAAATTCTTACTTAAAATTCAAAATAATTTTCTCATTAGCAAGATAGTAGAGGGTTATTAATAGATATACATCTATTTCAGTGTTTCAGTATAAATTCATTTATCTCTTTAAAGAACAAGCAACGAACAGAACAGTGGAGTCTGCCTTGTTGCATTTCCTGTTGGGTGGGAAGGCTGAATAACAACACACAGGTATCTGGGACGTAGCATGTCATATAAAGAAGTGACATAAAGAAGAATGCAGCAGGGCCGGGAGACTGCCCACGGTGCCCGTCTGCACGCATGCAAGTGAGAGGCGGGTGCAAGCAAGAGGGACAGCACAACACGTGTTCTTTGTAGGCGAGGCAGGGAGGTGACACCTGAGCAGAAACCCTAATGCCACGAGGGCGGGAGAAAGTTGACTAAAGGAACGGCGGGCAGAAAGGCTCTGAAAAGAACAGAGGATGCGGTTGGCTTGTAGGAGAGGTAAGAAGGCCGCCATAACAACAGTTGAGTGACCAGAGGGAACAGTAGTAGGAGAAAAGCTCAGGAGCCCAATCATAAACTAAGGTTAGACATTTCAAGGTAATTATTTGAGTTATCAACAAAACTGTTAAGTAACAGAATTCTAATGATAACTGGACTAATAAAATGATACAATTTAATTTAAAAACATTTTTCAAATTTAATTAAAATTTTCATTTCTAATTCATTTTCCCTTTACTTGGAAATTCAGGGAATAATTAATTCTTTAATTTTTTTTTTAGATTTTATTTATTTATTTTTAGAGAGAGGAGAAGGGAAGGAGAGAAACGTCAACATGTGGTTGCCTATTGCATGCCCCCTACTGGGGACCTGGCCCTCGACCCAGCCATTCGCCCTGACTGGGAACTGAACCAGCAACCCTTTGGTTTGCAGGCTGGCACTCAATCCACTGATCCACACCAGCCAGGGAGGAATAATTAATTTTTATATTGTTTTTCTCCAAAAATACCAAAGCAATGTGTTTCAGATAAATTTCTACAGAGGGTGGTGGAAAAAGAGCCAAGCAGGACATAATGTACCTTGTCGTAATACTGCAGGCGGGGGGTGGAGACTATCTCCCCATCCTCTGACCGGATCAGGCGATCCAAAAATTCCTCTTTGCCCACTTCAGACGCTGCCTGGCAGAAACATTCCAGGGCCTGGAGAAATAAAATGCTAAGTGACTTACAATGGATTGTTCCACTGCTAGGTGCTCATGTGCTAAAGAAAGCCAAAAAAAGAAACAATGTTGTTTAATGCTGCTGACTACATTCATAATTTCTGACATCTAAACTCTATCTGATGCATTATTAATATTTTTATCTTACTTTTTTACTTAAGTGCTATTAATTAAAAAGTAAACTTTAATAATTATAGATAAATATGTAATGAAGCAGCTGTAGCAACATGTTAACATTTGTAGAATTTGAGCGGTGAATATATATGACTTTATTATAAAAGCTTTTAAACTTTTCTGTATGTTTAAAAGTTTACATAACAGGATGTCAGGGAAAAATTAGAAATGTAAACTAGCATAATAGGAAAAGAAGCTGCCTTAAAAAAATGATATATCACCCACTGACTGATAAACAAAATGTGGTATATCCATACAATGGAATATAATTTGGCCATTAAAAGAAATGATATATGCGACATGGGTGAACCTTTAACATATATGCCAAATGAATGAAATCAGTCACAAAAAAACCCCACAAAGTGCATGATTGCATTAACATAAAATACCCAGGATAGGTAAATTTATTTATTTATTCTCTCTGTGGAGAAATAAAGTAGGCTGGGGGTTGACTAAGGGCTTAAGAGGAGTAGGGGAATTGGGGAGTGATGATTAATAAGTTGGGGTTTCTTTTTGGAGTGATGGAAATGTTCTAAAAATTAACTGTGTATTTGCATAGCTGGGTATATATTAAAAATGTTGACATGTATTATATTAAATTGTATACTCCAAATGGGTGAGTTATAATGATATGTAAATTTTATCTCAAATTGTTACAGAAAATGTTTTCAAAAGCCCTAGGAAGTTACAATAGTTAAAATTAAGTAAGTCAAGCTTTTCCAACAAAACAAATAACACCCCCAAAAGATATAATGAAAGCAATGTAATTGAAAAATACATTTTATTTACTAAAATGCATCCCTAAAACACCTGTATAGGGACAGGAAGGTTTCACTCTTTTCTTCTCTTGTGTCCTAACTAATCTGCAAAGTACCTGAGGCTGAACATTCTCCACAGGCACTAGCAGTCTTCTGTATCCTAATCCAGAGGATTCTAGGCTTCTCACCCCTGCCTCCAACTTCATTTGATGGAAACTAAGTGTCCTCCTTGCGCTAAATTTTGCTCACCACGCAAAGGCAGTTTACCTTCTGGCCCTCTCCTGTAACCAGGTAACACCGTCCCAGCATAAATCGGCGGGAACCAACATTGACTTGACACCAGGGATGAAGCAGTTGAATATAATCCTTAAAGGCATAAAAGGCAGTTTCTGATTAAGAAAATAAATACTCAGTTCCACGTTCTTCACAGATGTGGTCAATCAACAAATGTATTTCCTGACATCACCTGGAGAGCTCAAGCTAATCCTGCTCATCGATTCTTATATGAGGCTATTAGATACTTTATGAAAACAAACGGGACTCCAATAACACAAACACACATATGCTTTCCATCTTAGCAACTTCCTGACTTTTGCTATTTACTGGTTCAACCACTAGATTCCAGGAAAGGATTTAAATGAACAGAGTGGTATGCTGTTTTACCTAATAGACAGAATTGAAAAAAGAAGAAAGGATCCTAGAAAAAGTTTTATTAGGAATGATATTATCGAGAGGGAAGTAAAGAAAGTCTGGAGTAAGTTTTGATGTAAATATAAATTATTATGGTTCTTGTTTTCAGCTCAATTAAAATGCAGACAACATTTACAAAGAAAAAAATTCAGAAATCCCATTCTTTACAAGAATAAGTAAACCTGAGATATTCAACAGTGCTCACCTGCAATTGTACATACTGACAATTTCCCATCAAACATTCTAGAAAGAGGCAACTGGGATTGCTAGGCCACCTAGTCAATGGTTAAGGAGATTTTTTTACGTTTTTTGGCAAAACTTAAACATACACATTGGGTAGTCGAGTGCCATGAAATGGCTTAGTTGAGCTATTCAATAAATATTTGATGAATGTGTAACACTTTACAAGAGATCTAGGTATTAAACATGTACATATCAGTAAAATCTGGCTCAACTCCTGAGCAAAAAACCAAACCAAAAGAAAATAAAAACTGGGATCATATATGAAAATAAGTACTATCATCTTTTGTAGATGGAAAAACACCCAAACTCATTTTAAAATCTTCATTACAAGGCAGAACCAGCCTTAGATTCTTCAGCTAGAAGAGACCTTTTGCCCTGGCTGGTATGAATCGGTGGGTTGCAGCGTGATCCCATGACTGAAAGGTTATGGCCCGTTTAGGACGCTTATGGATCCCCAGTCTGGGTGTGGAGGATGCCAGTTCAGGGGGTGTGTGGGAGGCAATTGATGGATGCTTCTCCTTCACATCGATGTTTCTCTCTCCCCCTCCCTCTCTCTCTAAAGGCAATGAAACAATGTCCTTGGGTGAGGATTAAAAAAAAAAAAAGGAAAAAAGAAACCTTTCAAATGGCTTTTAAATAAAAGGATACAAGAGCTGCAATAAATAACCGGTAATTGCAGTAATCATCTCAGGCCAGTTCAACCCAGTCTGGCTCAGAGGTGCCTTTGGTTGAGAGAAGAGATGAGATATAATGTGTTTTCTTGCAACTTCTTGGAAGAATAATTCCACAATTGTCTGAGGGCTAGATACTTAAAAAAGGAAAAGAAAAAGAAATGACAATACGAACTTGTGATAGCAGTATCAGTTTTTAATTAGGACAGTCTACCAATTCATTTTATGCCTGTAACAAAGAACACTTACTATTTTGAAATATAAAATGCACCATTGGGCCCTGGCTGGTGTGGCTCAGTGGGCTAAGCACCGGCCTGCAAACCAAAAGGTCGCCAGTTTGATTCCCTGTTGGGGCACATGCCTGGGGTGCAGGCAGGATTCCCAGTTGGGGGCGTGTGAGAGGCAACCAATCGATGTGTCTCTCGCACACTGATGTCTCTCCCCTACTTTCTCCCTCCCTTCCCCTCTCTACAAGTAAATAAACAAAATCTTAAAAAAAGTTAAAAAAAAATGCACCGTTGAGATTATCAACGGCAATATAAATAAAAGCAATTTGTAAATTGTGAAGTACTATACGAATGCAATTTAAAAAGCCAGTTAAATCAACACTGTAGTCACGGTTTTCCACTGGTCTCATTTAACCTAAGTGTCTCCCCTAGAAAAGTATTTACAATAAAAATAGCTTGAAAATTCCAAGGTTTATACAAAAAAAAAAACCACAATAAATTCCTCAGGATGGTTCTCAAGCATGAGAGAGGGTCCCTTTTTGAACATATACTGATTAAGATCACAAAAGCTACCACGAACTTAGTAAACTTAAAAAGTGACTTTGAATTAATCACTGGAGTGTCAAAGCAGCAACACCCCCAATTTATGCCTCGTCTGGGACTACGGTTTCCACAAGACCCGCTGTCACAACCAGAGGTCTCAGGCCACAGCGTGCACAAACCCTCTCCAAGTGAAAGTAGAGCCTCGCCAAACTTTCTATGATAAACGTGGTGAGAGACCACTTTAATGAATATATAATAACTGCCACATTTATAATCAGATGCATACACAGTCCAGTCCTTACCAAATTTATTCGCCATTAAAGCACTAGAGTCAGTCAGTTCCAGTACTGATAAGTGTTGGAGGTTAGACTCCCTGTGAAAAAAGGGGGAAAAACCAGCTTCGTAAATTCTGTGATGCCCAACATGACTTCAACAAGCTATTCTATCAGGAATGTTGCCAATGTCATTAACAAACTGCACACGAGAGCTCCACTGAAAGCACGAAAAAACCTGGAAAATGTGTCATGGTTCTGACACTTGCCCGTGACACCACTCAGCGACCCCTCAGTGAGAAGCCACGGCAGACATTTCTCAGAGACCTCCATGCTGGGAAAAGCCTCACCCTGCCAGAGAAAAGGGAATGGTGTATCTTGCTGAAAACATGAATCTTCTAACTGTTGGATTTTCTTTCTTCTTTGAACTATAAAAAATCTCAGCCTACCTTTAATAACTAACACAACGTTTCAGTATGTGGTTTAACTTTTCCACTGACATCACCTTATTTTCCTTTCAACGGGATTTACCTTTATATTACACACACATGTATAATAACATAATAAATATATATTTATTATTTTAATTCCTATAAGCTGCCTTCAACCTTAATAAATGAAGACTCTAAGAGCTCTTCGCATTTTAAAGGCAAAATACACTACAGCACAATGTTGATAATTTTTTTCTTGTAAGACAATGAAAAAAAAATTACACTCACGATTTATTTTAGAAATAATTAGAAGAATAAACTCACAGTGTGTCAACTGGAACATCAGTTGCCAAGCACTGACTTCCCCACTTGATGAGGTGGTACGACAAGAGCAGGGGAGCTGTTCGATGGAGCAGGTCCTGCTGTGCCTGGAAGAGCTGACCGGCTCCCAAAATCACCTGTACGTGATGGGTGGTCGGGGGAGACAGTGCATAGCAATTAGTGGTTGTAACTCTTAAGGTGGGGGTAAAATATAATAACAAACACAATTACAAAGGGCATACAAAAAGTAACATATATGCAGCCCCGGCTGGGTAGCTCAGATGGTTAGAGCATTGTCCCAATATGCTAAGGTTGTGGGTTTGAGTCAGGGCATGTACAAGAATCAACCAATGAATGCATAAATAAGTGAAACAAGAAATTGATGTTTCTCTCCCTTCCCCCCTCTAGACATCAATAAATAAATTTTAAAGGGAAAGTAACAGGTATACATAAATAAAAGCAACACACCTATTATATTTTGGGATAGCAGAGGGCAAAAATATCTACCCAAACGTGTAAAATAATCAAAAACAGCTCACCAAGTCACGGGAGCTAATGATGAAAAAGAAAACAACACTGAAAAGCTTAACATTCATTAAATCTGTGGATTCAGAATTCAAGAAGAGGAACAGGGAAATCTAAGACCATTGTTATACTTCTGGTCTTGGGTAAAAGACAAAAAGTAGAGGAAAATTTGGCAATACAGCCAAAAGCTTTAATAATGTGTGCAGCCTATGACCAATCAAGTCTAGTTGTTAGACTTTATCCTAAAGATACAATCAAAGGTGTACAGAAAATTATAGCTACAAGGAAAAACTGGCAACAATGTGGATGGCCGAGAATGGGATTGATTGAAAAAAATTAAAGTTAACTAGATAATTAAAAATAATGCTGTAGAATATTTAATAATGTGAAAATGCTGATGAAATTTGTAAGTAGAATAAAAACCACCAGTTTACAAAAAAAGAATACTATGTAATGTATTCTAATTCTAGAAATAAAACAAAAAACAAATGCATAGAAAAAAGGGTGTATGTCAAAATGTAAAGTAGTGTTTATCATTGTACAGAAGATTACAGGTGAATTTCTATTTTCTTTCTGTTTGTATAAAGGCTCTACAATTACTTCCATGTTTAGGAAAAAAACAATGAAGTTCATAATAAAACAACCCTCAAAAGCCCCAACCCCTGAAGGAATGGAAAAATGGACCAAGGCTGAAGAGAACTTAACAAGGGCCGCGGTAAGCGACCGACCCGCGGGACGGTCCCTGCTCCTCCTTGGTGGGCCCGAGCAAATCATCTTCCCAGACGTGTTTCCTTATTTTCACCCGAAATTCTACCATTAGCAATGTATTTGGGTTAATAAACTCTGATTTAAAAAATATTAAAATCCCTGGGAACCCCCAAAGGCCTTTCGGTTGCTTTGTACTCGTTACCATAAATCAGTTCAATCAGACTGCTTCCCGTCAGTCTCTTAGAAGTTACTGACAGAGGGACCCAAGGGACTTCGGACCGTGGGAAGAAAAGTAATTTCTGAACGCGCAAGGCTCCGTAGGGTGGGGGACGAGGACCGGCGGTCCGTAGAGTGTGGTGGCCGAAGAACAGGACGGGGAGGAAGCCCAGAATGGAGATGGGAGAGCCTGAAGACAGACCGCGGTCTCAAGACCGTGCTTCGGGCGAGCCCTGTGTGGCACGCGGAACGAGTTCTTTTTCTTCATTCCTCTCTCCTCCCACTAAACGGCACCCAGCCACCACATCCAAAGTAGGGCCAATAACACTCAATTCTGGAAGAGCCAACCTGAGAAAACTTCTCACCACTATGCAGGCAAAGGGTAATAGTGAAACTATCTGCTCCCTGTTCTCAATCTGCCAATTCAGATTCTGACGCTTACTCTTTCCTGACTCAACAACAACCACTTACACAGCACCTCCTAAGCGTCAAGCAGGGGCGACAGAGCAGAGAATAAAGACAAAAGTCTCTGTGCTCGTAGAGCTGACATTCCATTAAGTGCCTGCGGGTCTACACAAGGTTTCAGATTTTAGATTTTACAAGTTTCCTCTCAAACAGTACTTACTGCATCTCCTAGCCTCATTAACAGCTGCTGTAAGATCAGAAGGTCTCGGCAGATGAGGAAGCGAGTACTGGCAATTTTATACACACCTCTGCACATGATATACCCTGCTGTTCTACTACCATAGAGCTGGGAAAGATTCATTCGAACATTCAAAGGCTGAGCTGCAATTAAAAAAAAAGGGGGGGGCGGGGCTGTTAAATGCATCATTGTTTTCTCTGCATCAAAAGGGCATGCTTGTTTTGTCGCTTACCTGGATCGAACCCCTTTTCCACTTCCACCTCTGTTTCATAGTCCATTTCCCGTATGAGAAGCCCAATGGCATGCACTGGGTTCCTAATCTCTTGCAGTTTACTGCAAACGTCCTCCATGACATTTTCTCTGTAAGGACAATGAGAAAACTCCTATTACTACCAAGAGCACACAAGACAAACTCTGTGTAAGTCCTGAAAGCTTCAATGTGCTATGAAACAGGAAAACCAGCCACATAACAAAGGAATGGAGGTATACAAGATACTTTACTCCATGAAGCAAATTTCCCCTCATTTTTTCACAAATGCGAGACAATATGAATGTGAGAAAAATACTTGTGTTTCAGAATTTATAGGCCAGTTAATAGTTAATAGTTTAAGCCACTACTTTGTACATACTTGAATGTACATTAAAATCCTGACTTTGGCACTAGAAATTGCTAAATTTCCATTAGGAAGTGCACTTTACCCTAAATTCTCCTTACACATCAATAGTGATCAAATCTTCCAAAATCTGCTCTGCAGCCTTTTCTGGAGACTGTAGGTTGAAACAACTCATTTCCATCATTACTGACATATCCATAGTCACTGACTCTCCAATCAGACGAAGGCATTTTATAAGACAGATGACATCCCGAGCAACATCCACATCTATGAGTAAGAGAAAGTTAACATTCGTGTCTCAAGCCGATGAAGAGCTAGTAATTAATATTATATGAAAATATTAGTAATTAAATGCTAAGGATCCATCTGGGGTCTTAGAGATGCTCAGGCCTCTTCAGCTTGCCTTAAAGTAGCTACAATGTGGTAAAATGACCAGGAAAGGTCACAGTGGCAATCAATGGGCTTTGCCTCCATATGGAACAAAGCATGGCGGTCGTGTAGGAAGGAGATTAAGTATGGGCATAATAATCACTATTACCATCAGATATGGTCGTCTCATCCTCTGTCAAGAGGTTCTCATCAGGCAGTAGATACAAGTGATCCACTAAGGAGGAAGGCATAAGGAAAGACAGGTACCCCTGGAGATACAAATCCAGTTACATTCATTTCAGTGAACATGTAAAAGTGTAAAATGACTGATACCTGTATCTTATCACGAGGAAACACCAGACAAATGCAAACCGAGGGACACTCTACAGACAGCAGATGCAGGCTTCCAAACACGTCAGTGTCATGAGAGACAAAGGAAGGTGGACAACAGTTTGAGATTAAGGGGAAAAAACATACAAACAAACATATGCAAGATCTTGGATTGGATTGTAGGTCAAGAAAAAAACCTCACAGGCACAACTGGTAAAATCCGACTATGAACTGTACAGTGTTATTACATCAATATCGAATTGCCTGATCTTTAAATTGTGCTGTGGTTACATAAGAATACCCTTGATCTCAGACACGTGCTAACCCGTACAGATAACGGGGCATGAAGTCCTCCACTAACTCTCAAGCGGCTCAGGAAAACAAATTATAGAAGGAAAAAAAGCAAATGGAAGTTAACAAATGGTAAATCTGGGTGAAGAGTACACAGAACTTCTTTGTGCTATTCCTGTAAGTTTTACATTAAGTTTGAAATCACCTCAATATCGAGGTAAATAAAGTAAAATGCCAAAACATATAAGTAATGTAGAAGACTATCTAAATACAAATGAATGGTAATTTTAGGAAAACAAACAAACAAAAAACCCCAAAGTCCTAAGAGCCAAGCGCAACGCACAACAGACGAGCACTCTGCAGGACGCACTGACCGTCCGAAGGACTCCTCTGTGCGCCAGCGCCCTTACCTTTTTCAGCAGGCACACCGTGTTCGTGTGCGGGTTCAGGTGCAGGGCGAGCGGGTGAGAGAGGGCCACTTGATACTGAACACAGCAGCCATAGAACTTGCACCAGAATTCCTGCTGTAAATTTCGAAACTGCTCCTGAGAAAACTCATACTCTGTTACACTTCCTTGGAGCTGGTAAAGGAAAAAAAAGAAGAAGAAGAAACTCTTGATACCATTCAGGAGCTTTCTCCCCCTAAAACATAGCTATCTAATATTATTTTACTAAGCTATAGCTAAATGAATATTCACTGTGGCTTACATGCCATTGACTACATAAATGTATAATTTCCCACGTAAAAGATTTAAACGTTTTTACTTCCCACTAACAAGGTTCAGTGAACAATCTGAACAATTCCCCAGTACCAATCTGCCAATCCGCATGAAAATGGAAGAATATATGTATTCTTTCTTTACCCAAACCTCACCTCACTTTCAACAGCTAAAGTAACTTCTTTCTTTAGTTCACTCCAGGAAAGATCTAAATTCCTCTCAGTTCCTTGACAGAAAATCTAAAATTAAGAGAGACATGTGAGAAGATTATATAATACCTAAAACTGAATGAAAAATGCTCTAGTTTACAGATGGCACTGAGGCAATATACGACACCACAGAGAGACCAGACATGCCCAGAATACAGTCACCCCTAACATCGTGCAAGTGACTTCTGTAACTGAAATCGGAGCATGCTGGAAACAGTGCAGATCAGAATAAACTAGAGAAACCCATGAATCTGAAAGAATCATAACAGGGCACATGTGGATTACTGTAGAAAGCAGAACAGTGAACAATCAGCCAGAAGGAAGACGTGTGACGGACCTGAACACACGCATCCCGAGACCGGCCCAGGCTAAACTACGGGAGCGAGGGGCTGGTGGCCGCCTCGCTGCTGGGATGCAAGAGGTATCATGGGAAATATCATCATACGTGTGATCATTGTTTACAAGGAAGAAGTGCTGAAGAGATGCAAGGGGAGAAAGGGATCACGTCATTCTGAGGTTTTATCTGAGAGAAAACAGAAAACACGCAGTAGCCAGATACCCAATGGCATACCGAGAAGGAAGGTCAAGGGCCTGGAAACTATACCACGTGACAGAAGGTTAAAGAACATGGAAAGATTCTTAAAATACCTGAGGCCTACTTCTAGGATAGAAAAAAGCTCTATGACATTCCAAAAGGAAGAAGCCACCAAACGGATGGGGCCTGCATCTGATCCGATACTGGGAAGAACTTTTAAATGACACCATCTGGGAGCAGCAACGCACACAAGTGCCAGGGAGAAACCTGTCACCAGGGAGGCAGAGGCAACTCGAGGCAGAGCAGCTGTCCTCCAGGGGAGCCTCAATGCTGCCCTGTGTGGGCGGTCAGAGCAGCAGGTTCTGGGGCCCTTTCCATTCTGTGAGCCATGTTCTATTTTCAAGTCATCAGGTATGGCAATTTAAGGAAGCCTCAGTGACTTTAGAGAACCCTTTTGTAAAATTTTAAGCATCTCTTAAATCATGTGATTTTGAAGCATACATTATGTGATTTTTGAAGCTTAGATTTAGATTTTTTTTTTTAGATTTTATTTATTTTTAGAGAGAGGGGAAAGGAGTGAGTAAGAAAGGGAGAACAACATCAATGTGTGAGAGATACATCAACTGGTGCCTCTTGCACGCCCCCAATCGGGGACCCAGCTCGCGACCCAGGCACGTGCCCTGATCAGGAATCAAACATGTGATCCCTCAGTCTGCCGGCATTCAGTCCACTGAGCCACACCAGCCAGGGCATTAGATTTAGATTTCAGACTGAACCTGAACCAAGTCAGATCTTCACGGTATTACCAAAAGGGTAAAAACAGAGTACCACCAAAACTAACCAAGGAAATATTTTGGATTTCTCTCAAGTATAGAGATTATATGTAGTATAGTAATGTATCTTTTGTAACAGGGTAGGCACAAACTTCTCTGTGTGCTACCGGCATGCTTAATTTGCCACGGGAAAGTACCCATCCCACCTCCCGGTGGGAGTCTCACTTCATGGGAAGACCATTTATAAAAATTACAATAGCATTTATAAACACCCTCATAAATAGCACTTATACAAGACAGTACAATACAATTGCAAAAGCACACAACAAAAATGAATAGCAATCATTTATTACATAATGAGTAGTAATAAAAGAAAGAGCTGGTCTTAAATAAACATGAAGTATTTTTTCACTGACCTGTAAAGCTTTACACAAAGCTGCATTTATGAACTGTCCTGGTGTAAACAGACTCTGCAAATACATCTCCTGTTAGAACACGAAAGCAAAAATTAGTATCATTCTAAAAAGATAAAAATTAAGAGAAACCTGAAGAAGAATTCAAGAGCTTTCGGCTTGCAACAAAGCTGGCTTTCTGTTCCACGTGCCCTTCTACATTGGAGCAGTAACAGGTAGCAGAGCGGTTCTCCATTTCCCCCTGGAAGTGAAGACCATGGTGTCTCTGAGTCAACTAGGTGTCCTGTCCTGAAAAGGGCGTGCCCCTCAGGCAGATCCACTGGGTTCCCCCCAAAAGCACACCCTGTCAAATGCCCCACCTAAATGCGAGAGGGGAACCTAATTTATTGGTGATATACGAGTGTACCAGTAAGAACAATTAAACTAACCAGAACAATTAGACCGGTTTCTACACAGTCCACAAAATACTCATTTTATGGCTCTAATACATATTAAAGAACAGGAGCCAAGAATAAGAAGTGTTACATGTGAAAAACACAACAAAACACTGCAATAAGCTCTCACAAGTGGAGAAACGAAGAGAATAAACTGGAAAATCTCACACTGCCTAATTATTTTGACCAAATTTCATAAACCAGATCTGTCAGTGAGGAGTAAACCTGACTGACCTTCTTTCAAGTTCCTTCCTTCTACTGAACTTCCGAGGGATGATACAATGACCAAAGTGAAGGAGAAAAACAAGGATTTTAATAATTAGCACGTGCCTGGCGTTTAGACAAAAGTCAAGTGCCATTAACCTCTTGGGATTAAAAACATGGCAACAGATGTTCAAAGTGGGTTTTCCACTCTTACAAATAGTCACCATGATTTTTAAATCTCATTTTAATATTATGGCATCAACTGAAAGCTTTTTCTACCATTTATCCCGAGGTGTCCCTGGAAAACTGGGAGACTGGCCTGTTTTGCTCTCGAATACATTACCTTTCAGAGCTATTCCCCTCACAGCATATAGCACATTTATCTTATGTCTACTTTATATGCACGTACCACAACGGTTAGTACAGAGGACACCTAGGTTTGTGCCCGGCCAGAGCCCATGTCCCCTTCTTTTACTAACGAATCCCTTATCTACCTCTGGGGAACCATTCCCCCACTATCTACACACAACTTACTTCACAACCTTCCACAAGAGCAAGGCCCAGGTTGGATGTGTTTCTCAAGCCAAGCCAGAGTGTTCTATTCCTTCTGGTCAAAGTGACTGTGTCAGAAATACCACCTGACTCAAGCCAGGCAAGCAGTGTCTACCCAGGACCTGGGACAGAGGTGCTGTCTCCTCTGGGGCTGCTTCATTCACAGAACGCACAGGCTCTGCTTGAGAAGAAACCCAACAAGGAGGGAAGCAGAGCCGAGACAGAGGAGACATCGACTGCTGTGGGCACTCTCCCAGCCACGGGTGAAGCCGGCTGACTCAGCTTCTCTGCTGCACAAGCCAATGCAGTCTCATTTTAGCCTCTGTCAGTCTGAGGCGGGCTTCTCTCACCTGCCCCCGGAAGAGTTCTAATATGCCTGGCTCTTCTGAGACTAATGATCAGGGGAAAACATCCCCTTACATAAAACTTGAGCGTTGCTTACTCTGGGGTCTTGATCATCTCTGATAATGATCTGTTCCTCTGGCCGAGGCTGCATAAAAACTGGATTCCACTGGCCTGCAACGTTACTACAAAGAAAAGCAGTCCATCAGTCTATAGAAAAGTGATGAATAAAAAACAAAGTTTATGCTGTTGGCAGTATCCGGGCAGGGAGGGCCCCATCACTGAATCTCTGCAATGACTACTTCATCAACTGTTAAAAAAGTTTCAGCCCTGGCTGGGTAGTTCAGTTGGTTAGTGCATCGTCCTGATATGCCAAGGTTGGAGGTTTGATCCCTGGTCAGGGCACATACAAGAATCAACCAATGAATGAATGCATAAATTAGTGGACCAACAAATTCATGTTTCTCTCTCTCAAATCAATAAAAAGCCCTGGTTGGCATAGCTCAGTGGATTGAGCTCGGGACTGCGAACCAAACCATCACAGGTTCGATTCCCAGTCAGGGCGCATGCCTGGGTTGCAGGCCATAACCCCCAGCAACCGCACATTGATCTCTCTCTCTCTCTCTTTAAAAATAAATAAAATGAAATCTTAAAAAAAAAAAAAAAAAAGCTGTGACTAGTGTGGGTCGGTGGGCTGGGCATTGTCCTGCAAACTGAAGATCACTGGTTTGATTCCCAGTCAGGGCACATGCCTGGATTATATGCCAGGTTCCTGGTTGGGGGCATGTCAGAGGCAACTGATCAATGTTTCCTCTTTCTCTTTCTTCCTTCCTCCCTTCCTCTCTACAAATAAACAAAATCTTAAACAACGACAACAACAACAAAACTGAACAGAAAACATTTCAGAAAGAAGAAACTTATTCTGGTTTTACAAATGTGCTCTTACCAGTTTTAACAGGCTTCCTGCAATTAAAACTGTAAACACAAATCTAACAGCTAACTTACTCTGCATTTACTCCATGCTAGACATTACTTGAGGTGCAGCGCAGTATAACTTTGAAGGATGTCTTAACCCCATTTTGCAGATGTGGAAAGTGAGGCTTAGGGCATCTGATAGGTAGCAAGTTGCACAATCAGGATTTGAACTCTCATCCAGTTTTTGCTTCTTTCCCACTTTGCTGGAATGCATCTATCAGGACTCTCTCACACATTTTCTGAGATTTGGCTGCTCAGGGTCAATGTGGGGGCAACTATTTCTAGAATTCTATTCTCTAGTATAAGGTCGTGAGGGACCCTAAAGTTCAATCAGTTTAGTTCCAGGGACGTCAAGATGTGTTCCAGGGAATCCTGTGTAAGTGTTTCAGGGGATACATCAGTATTTGACTCCAAATTAGTGTTTTAAAATACATTTTGTAACTATTAAACATTCATAACTCGTAACTCATAGTATGTATATTAAAGTACAAGATACCAAATATATATTAGAAATTCTCAACATGTTGAATTGTGTTATAATTTTATACTCATACATTACTAGTTTTGTTATATATTGGAGCTCATTGTCTGTTGAATAAAAGAGTGTCCTGTTTTTAAAAAAGTTCGAGAAGCACTGTACTTGTGTAATCTGAGAACCCAAAGGGACATTAGTGTCTCTTGGAAGTTGTGGGTACCAGAAATAGTCTTTGCTTAGATGCAAAAAAAAAACCCCTTCCAGATTAGAAGTATTTTGGGTATGTGCTATCTCTCCCAAGAAACATGGTATTTTCATCACATTCCAACACTGAAGAATCCTCATTTCATCTTAAAACCAATGACAAGAAATAATGTAAGTATAAAAGAAGGTTTTTCAGAAAATAGTCAACAATATGCATACCCAGGGCTGAATCCTTTAAACACAAACATTTGACTTTGGTACCACCTAAAAAGCGCTCTTGTTTTCTGAGTATGAAACTGCTTGGGGTGAGGTAGGATGACAAAGGTAAGGGTTATGCCTTGGCTGGTGTAGCTCAATGGGTTGAGCACGTGGGCTGCAAACCAAAGGGTCGCTGGTTCTATTCCCAGTCAGGACACATGCCTGGGTTGTGGGCCAGGTCCCTAGTGGGGGCCACATGAGAGGCAGCGACACATTGATGTTTCTCTCCCTCTCTAATAAAAAAAAAAGAAAAAAGAAAAAAAGCTAAGTGTTACATACTGTTCAAAGTTGATGTACTTCACAACCGTTCGGTTCTCAGCATCATGCCACAGGGCCCAGATATCCGTCGAGGTTAAAGCAAAGTCGATGAGTGTTTCCTAGGAGGAAACAGGAGCAGGGAAGAGGGGGAGTTGAAATAAGAAAGGGTAGTAGTTTGTAATGACCTAAATTTGTATCACTGGGAGAGGTAAAATCATAAAAACGAAAGATAGTACATGAACTTGGTGAAACCCAAATGACATTTTGTTTGTACGTGTGAAATATTACATTTTCAGATTTCAACCCCACTGCAGCAGAGTCGAAATTGGCCAGCACTTCTTTCCTGTGTCTGTGTGACACGTGGAGGGCGAACCAACCTACCTGAGACGTGAACAGGGAGGAAATGTGATCTAGACTGTAGCGGTTATTCTCAGCGCTCACCAGTTGGAAGACGCAAAACTGTTGAAACACAAGTTGACAATTTATTACTTGAAATAATCAACGTGCTCCTTTTCTAAACAAGTTATTAGCATTCAGAAACCAATTTTTAAAAAAGTGTGGTCAACTACACATTTATCGTAACGTTCAAGAGTGTTAAGTGCATGCACATTACTGTGCAGCTGATCCCCCAGACTCTTTCCGTCTTACAAAACCGAAACTCCGCACTCATTCGACGCCCCTCCCCCCTCGGCAGCTGCCATTACACTTTCTGTCAATATGACTGACTGCTCAACATTTTATATAAGTGGAGTACCAACAGGGTTTGTCTCTTTGCGACTGGCTTATTTTACTTAGTTCACCCGTACTGTAACATTGATCATAACCTCATTCTTTTTATGGCTAAATAATATTTCATTTTATGCACATACCATATTTTGTCTATCATCTATCGATGAATAACTGGGGTGTTTCCAACTTTTGGCTACTGTGAATAAAACCGCTATAAACATGGGTATACAAATATCCCTGAAACCCTACTTTAAATTCTTATTTTTAAAATTCTAGGGAGTATATACCCAGAATGCGGGATCACAGGGTATTTCCATGACTGATGTTTCTGAGGACCCGCCACACTGTTTCCCACAGCAGCTGCAGCAGCACTTTACATTCCCATCAGCAAGGCCTAAGAGTTCTGGTTCCTCCATTTCCTCACCAGTACTTGTTATTTATTTACGTTTTGATAGCAGCCATCCTAACGAGTGTGAGGTGGTATCTCAGTGTGGTCACAAACCTATTTTTAAGTCTATATTCTTACCAAAGTACCAAAGACAATTTAGAACATACACACAATACAAATCAACACTTATCAGTTAATCTTTATTAAAAATAGAACCCTATAAAATAATTCATGTTTAGTATTTAACTCCACAGACAAAACAAAACATTTAGAACTTGAAATAATATTTTTGATGGGTGTTTTAAATAAATTTTTGATAAAGAAAATTCACTGATAAGAACGACAATAACTGTGTCCTTATAACGTAAGCAACTGCCCAGAAAGCAGCACTAAAGTAATTTCAGTGAGAGACCCTTTGGAAAAGAGCAGGAGTGCATGAAACACGAAAAACGCACGCAGTGCTATTCAGTCTGGCCTGCAGCTTTATTTCATAAGCTGCAGATCTCAGATCATTAGGGGAACATAAATCAACTTAGCAGGTGGCAACCAGCATTAAAAAACAAAACAAACAAAAAAAGACAACAAAATAAACATAAAGTAACAGTTCATCAGTTCCTCACTCATGGTAAAAGCAAATATTTGATGAAAATGCTTTGGTTATACATCAATTGCATATGTGCACAGTAGGCAGCAGTGCAAAATATTTCTAATTGTAGACTCTAGCTGGTCCAGTGCAATGTCGCTTAAGCTACCTGTGGAAAAGGACTGGTTTATTTTTTCCAATCCGTTGCAGACTGATTACTTCTACAAAATGTGGATGTTGTGGCAATGTCAAATCACTACAGATCCCCCAGTGCTTTCTCTCACCCCTGGACTTATTTTACCACAAGTAGTAAAGAATTCCGGGCCCAGGACTGTTCCACGGGCCAGACCATCTCACGTGGAAATACAGACGGCATGCTCACTACATCAGTGACCATCTACTGGATTAATACACTTATTGAGAGTCCTGTGCTCTACCGACGGAGCTAGTCAGGAGCCTTGGAGTAATACATTTATCAACAAAATTAAAATCCAAAGGACCAAAAGAAAAACAAGGAACAAATGAAATGAATAAACATGGATATAAACCATCACAGAGATTAAAGAAAGAAAACTTCAATTTTATAGATTAGGGAGAAAAAACCCTGTAAGGAATAGTTTTTGTGAAGGGGGAAAAAAAAAAAGACCCAAACTTATTACGACCTGACTAGGCACACGTGTTACGCGGCTGCCAACAAGGCCTTCCCAACTTTAGGCTCCCCTGGCAGAGCCCCCCGTGCTCAAAACAGAGGAGGGTAAGAGTGCTGCTCAATCTGACCCCTTCCTACAACACCACCTTCGACTCTGGATGTGGCTTTGAGAGGAGTGGTTCTCAAAGCGTGGTCCAAAGAGGTTTCATAGGCCTCTGCAACTGTTTCGGGGGGCAGTGAGGTCAAAACTCTTTTCATTATAATACTATGACATTATATGCCCATTGCACTGTGTGGACATTTGTACCAATGACGCAAAAGCACTGATGGGTAAAATGACCTATGTTTTAACGTGAATTAGGATGACAGCATCAAACTGAACACCCTTTCATGATAAAAACTCAACAAATTAGGAAGAGAGAGAAACTTCCCACCTGATAAATGACATTTATAAAAAAGTCATAGCTAACATCACACTAAATGGTGAAGCACTAAAAGCTTTCAGCCTTAAATGGCATGGAATGAGCACACCACCCGTATTTCCATCTGAGCCACTAAGGATGTCAGTGCTTGCCACTGCCGTTCAGCCACTCATGAACGCCCACATCCCTTTTCATAACTCCACTTTTTCACCCAGACTTCCACATGTGTTCTTTCTTCTTTGGTTTTGGTTAACTTGTCCTTAAATATTCCTTTAAACTCTCTACATACACCCTTTCACCCTGGCTTGTCCTGCACGATCTTTTAATCCACACATCAGCACAAACCCCCATTCTCTGTGAAGACAACACACGAGACACCCAGGTTGACGTGAAGAACTGAAACAGACTCCAGTGCACAGCCACCTCCCCCCCCGCACAGAATAACTCGATACATTTCATGTGTGTCCCACCTGTCCTCGCTTCGGTGCGTGCATGTAAACCCCTAGATACATTCCCATGGACGGGGAATAAGCAAGTCGTAACTTGTGTCCAGTCCCGGCAGTGAGCTGAAGGTCCTTTTTCACAGGGACATACTCCAGCATGTTGGCCACCATCAGGCACATTTGGTCCTGCCCAGGAGAAGAATTAGTGTTATCAAAGAATATTCAGGTTAGAAAACAAGTCCCCCTCCCTTTTAAAAGACGCACATCCATTATATCCAGCACTCTGCCTGTTTATGTGCTAAAGGACCTACTGGTTTCTTTTTGAGGGCTAAGATGAAATTATCTTAGTCTAAGAGATAAAATTATCAACTGTTTTGTGAATCTTGGAAACTATTTACTAACTGCATCTCAAAAAACATATTTGTTCTTTTTAAAATTTTTAAAAAAGATTTTATTTATTTTTAGAGAGAGGAAGGGAAGGAGAGAGAGGAAGAAAAACATCAATATACAAGAGAAATATCGATCAGTTGCCTCTCGCATGCCCCCAACTGGGGACCTGGCCCACAACCCGGGCATGTGCCCTGACTGGGAATCAAACCAACGACCTTTCATTTTGCAGGCTGGCACTCAATCCACTGAGCCACACCAGCCAGGGCTGTTCCTCTTAAGTAAAGGATATATTCTGCACTATTATTTTAACTTTTCTACGGGACTCAAAATTTTCAAAATATAGACGAAAACTTCAGGGAGAAGTGTACGAAAAATGAAACTGCCTGAACATGGAAATGGCCTGTAATTTTCAAACTAAGTGATGGGAGAATCTACAAGGAGCAGCAAGATTTACTTCACTTCTCTAACAATTCTCAACCCCTTTTTAACTTATTCTAGATAAACACGTAGCAGTCACCTTATACGACCACATGCGCAGCTTGTGGTCCTGGCACAGAGCAAAGATGAAGGCGTCGTTCTCGACACAGTGAACAGCAAGACTGAGGGGACGATCTGAAGGCCCCTGATCTCCTCTGAAAACACAAGGCCAAGTTTCACTATTGATAGTCATCTGGTCATTGTAATTTGTAAATTAAGAGACAATGTACAGTTAATCAACAGGAGCAAGAGTTCGCATGTTGGAATAATCACTGCACTTTCTATTTGATTTATAACCAACTACTATGATCCATTTTAAAAAGTTTTACCTAACAATGGAATGCTGCTGCTCTAACTATCAGAAACATTCTACTTCTCATATTATTCAAAATTGGGTCTGGTAAGTCAGGGCTGACGTAGACACTGAGAGGGCATGCACAGGAAGCCAGTTTCTGTGGTCAAGGTGTCCAATCCCAGAGGAAGTGGGCTCTGGAACGTGGCTCTGCTCAGGTGGAATGTGATGTTGGGCAGACTCTTCTACTTTCCAGTATGATTTTTTTATCTGCCTTGGACTAAGAATGGAAGCAGGCCGACCAGCACAAAAAGGTTAAATTCTTAGGCCCTTTGATTTACCTGCCAGATAACACTTACCTGATAGCTGTTGGCATCCAGCCTACAAGCAATCGCTGCATCACTGAACTCTGCTTCAGTTCCACAACGGACACCATCCCTACAAGATCGAAAACAGACCCATGACACAACCAAGCTACCTCCTGATGATACTCTGTGAAACTCAAAGGTGAGGATACAACCATGAACCAGGTCTCTATAACAGGCGACAAGCTTACACATTTCTGCCTAGGGAATTCTCTTTTTAAGAGAGAGGGGGAAGAGGGAAGGAGAGAACATCAATGTTTAAGAGAAACATTGACCACTTGCCTCTCATACGCCGCCCAGCTGCAGACCCGGCTGGCCTACAACCCAAGCATGTGCCCTGACCGGGAATCAAACCGGTGACCTTTTGGGTTACGGGCCAGTGCTCTTCCCACTGAGCCTCACCAGCCAGGCCCAGGCCATTCTTAGGACATGCCTTTCCATATACATGACATCTAAAATCTTTTGAAGCATTACTAGATCAATAACAAGAGCATTTTTAGATTCCTAGGGAAACTTTTTGCCATTTATGAACAGTATCTCATATTGCTCAGAAGAAATACTTCATTCTTTCCAAATACTCACACTGTGTACCTTTCATGTGTTGGGCAGTGCCAAGTGTTAGAGGTGGAGCAGTGAACATAATTAAAAAACTCCTGCCCCCATGGAACTCACATTCCTCAGGGAGGTGGGGGAAGCCGGGGAGTTAACAAATTGAGTAGTAATAAAAAATAAATAAAACTTGGAAAGGATATGGTGAATGGTAGGGCGAGATGTGCGTGCAACTTTGAGGAGTGTGGTCAGGGAAGGCGTCACCGAGGGGGATACTGAGCAAAAGACCTAAAGGAGCTGAGGGAAGGAGCCACGCTGGTAGCTGGGAAAGACTACCCCAGACAAGAACTCTGAAAATGTGTGCAGGGTACGCTCAAGGACTCAGAAGGTAAGTGGCTGGTGTCAAGAAGGTGAGGGGGAAATGAGAAGTAAGGTGAGGGCGCAGGGGTCGATGTACACCAGTGTATGGACTTTGGGTTTATTCTGAGTGAGACAACTCTCATTTAAAGGCTTTGTTTGAGCAGATTAGTGGCACGACTCAACTTAGATTTCAAGTGTGTGAGTCTGCCTGAGAATTCTCTGTAGAGGGTAAGGATAGCTCTGGGGAGATATTTAGGAAGCTAAAGCAGTAATTCAGGAAGGAGGGGGCGGTGACTTGGAGTAGGACACCAGCAACCCCACTTCCTTGCGTCAATTATTTTGGTTACATGATCTCAGGTTGAAGGTAGACAACACATCCCTACTAGAGGCCTTAGAATAGGCTGTCTGACAGTTATCTTTTCCCACATTCTGATAAACTTTACAGTTCTTCATCCACTGTATAAAAGCTTCCTTTTGGGAAAAAACAAAAACCAAAAAACAGTACACCACTAGGGGCTTCCCAGGTAAGTGATACTGAATGATCATTTCAGGGGTGAGAGGGGAGCAATGCCTGGGTTGGATGTGGGTTTGGACTTCTAAGGTCTGTTTTAATGTCAGCCTCCCTTGCTTTAAGTTAAGTCCAGGCTCAGGTCCCGTTCTTACCAGGTATGTCGTAAGGAGGTAGTTTAAGAATAAAGATCCCCCCAGCAGCAGACGGCAGAGCAAACAGGGCCTCCCCTTCACTGCTCAGCCAGGCTGCTGAGGTGGTAGAGTTAGGGGGGAGGCCAGGGACGGCTGGAATTAACTGATAGTTGCAAGGATCCCTGAAGTCAACTTTTCCAATGTCAGTGAATATCGATTGCATCTGACCTTCCACCGCCAACTCCTGGGAAGCAATTGAAGAGACAAATCTGTTAAATCAGAATACGCTGAATTTTGCACAGCTCCTTTTGATTGCTATGAAAGCCTTTTTTTATAAAAAGTTTGATTTTTTTTAAAAATATTTTATTTATTTATTTCTTCAGAGAGGGAATGGAGGGGGAGGGAGGGAGAGGGAGAGAGAGAGAGAGAGAGAGAGAGAGAGAGAGGGGGAGAGAGAGAGAGAAACATCAATGTGTGGTTGCTGGGGGTCATGGCCTGCAACCCAGGCATGTACCCTGACTGGGAATCGAACCTGCGACACTTCGGTTCGCAGCCCATGGTCAATCCATTGAGCTACGCCAGCGAGGGCTGAAAGCTTTTCTTTAAAGTAAAAAATTTTCGAGCTTAAAAAGAAAGCCATTCCTTTTAATAAAAACTATTTCTTCAACTTAAAATGTATCTGATCATTTCAGATACTATTGAAGTGTGCTTGGTGAGGACTAAGAAGGAGCCCAAATTTCCCCCAGTTCCAAAGGACATTCCTCCAGCACTGAGTCTGGACAGCCAGGGGAACCTGGGGAATAAAGGTCTTACATAAACTGACTTACACTCCTGTACATCCGGGAAGGGTGAGGCAAAAGCAGCCTGTGCACCGTCTGATTGGTTAGTATCAAGATTGTCACGTGAGTCTGAGTCTCACAGACATGGACCCCTCCGGGCAAGAGGCTGCAATTTTGAAACCTGAGGCGAACTGCATTATTCAACAGGTTTATGTCCAGTGACTCTTCCACGAGCTCCAGTGCATCTCCGGAGGTCTTCCTGTTTAAAAAAAAAAAAAAAAAAGACAAAAAAAAAGACAATTGTTTCAGAAGTTTATGTTTGTCTTTCTAACTGACTGTTGCACTGAAATATATGAAAATAATTTATGGGTGAACTCTCCCAATTTGAAAAATTTGGACAAATTCAGACCAGTGTTTATGTTCTAAACTGCCACATTATATAGATTTACAAAACAGCAGAATATAAAATTCAAATCTTATTATATGACTCTGTTAAAAGATGGTGTTTCCAAACTTGACAGTCCATTTATTTAGAATATTCAATACAGTTAAACTCCACTACGTCACGCCCCCTGCCCATCACTTGTGGAGGCCGTAACTGCAGCCCCAACCTCAGCAACCCTGCCACACACGGGTGTTTCTCCTATTACTCCTGTCACCTCTGCCGCTGGGTGCAGGGCAGACTGTTCCTCAGGCGCCACTCTGCCCTGGGGCGGCCCATCACCTCACTGACCGTGTTACCCACATCCTTCCCCCAAGAGCAGGTCCCCTTCCAGCAAGCAAAGGCCAATCTCTGACTCTCTCAAGTATTTCCCTCCTGCCCCCATCTCTCCTTCTTCCAGAGCCTTCCACAGACTTTCAAATCCACTCTTCCCAGGCCTCTCCCCTTCCATCACCCCTTCTGGCCCCCACCCAGCCACCTCATTTTCTCCATTCTCCTCTATGGCCGAGCTTTCTCTGCGTCCTCACCGGTCTTATACTCTTCAACCTACCCTCTTCTTACCGAGGTCACCAGACCAACTCCAAAGGACTCCTCAGTCTTCTAACTTGACCTCTTCACAGCAGTCATCCACAAACTTGACCGTGCTGTCCTTCTCAAACCCGTCTCTACTGACTTCCACAGCACCCTCTCCTGGTTTTACTCCCGCGTCTCTGGGCATACCCTCTCCTTCTCCCTCACCTGACCCCCACATGTTAGTTCCCGAACCTTGACCCCGGGTCATCTTCTGTGCTCACAGTACACATTCTGCAAAGCACATCTTATCTACTCGCACAGCAGTAAGCACCACTGGAGGTCTGATGACTCCCAGAGCTACTTCGTTCCTGGTAACTCACGCTGTGTCATCAGCACAAGCTTCTGGACCCTCAACCTCATCTCTGAATAACGCTTCCTTCCTGCCTCCTGGTTGAAGTTGGGTTCTGGGTCTTCCCAGAGGACAGCGTGCCCCGGAGTCCTCTCTAACGGTGGTAGCCTTCTCAACCACACTCCTTGCAGTGGGGCCTCAGGGTAGGGCACACATGTCCTGCTGGTTCCCCCCTCCGTGCCCAAACCAGTCAGCACTGAAGGTCATGCAGTCGGATACCACCTGCTACCCTGTTCACTGCAGACCTCTCTCATTTGAGGAAGTCTAGCTCGAGTCAGTCTCACTTCTCTTGCCATAATTCTAAATGATTTCAACACGCATGTTGCTTTCTAATACCTCACTTTCTCAGCTTCTTCAATGCCTCTCTAGTGGTTTCCCTCGACTGCAAACAAACATACTATTATCTCTCCCCTATACTGCTCTGCTGTCCTCCGTTCAATTTCTCCCCTTACAGCAGTGCTCCTTGAGAGAGTTGTTTCACACCCACGATTCCTCTCCTCCCCTTCTCTCTTGAACCCACCCCACTTGGGCTGTTGCACCAGTACTGCTGCAGTTCCTGACAAGGCCACCAATGACCCCCACGGTGCAAGGCCAGTTTTCATGTCTCTGACTTACGTGTGGTACCTCACAGTGTTTTCACTCTCCTGTTTCTGGAAAGATCTCCCTTAGCTTCTGGAACACCACTCTGTTTTTGTTCAACTCTTACTTCACTAGCTGCTCCTTCTCGGTCTCCTTCACTGGTTGCTCACCTTCCTAAATACTGGCGTGCCCCAGGGTTCAGTCCTCAGACAGCTTCTCTTCCCTCATCTACCCAATAGTTTTCAAGTGGGGGCTATTTCTACACCCGACTCACCAAGGACACACAGCAATATCTGGAGAGATGTTTTCACTCGTCACGACCAAATGTGTGTATGGGCACATGTGTGTGCGCATGTGTACACTACTGGTATGTATGTAGTGAGGAGAGGCCAGGGATGCTGCTCAACACCCTACAACGTAGAGGAGATTTATCTGGCTCCAAATGCCAACAGTGCAGGGGCTGGGAAACCCTGATTTCTGTTCATTCTCTGGGCAATCTCATTCAGCATAGCAGCTTTAAATGCCATCGAATACCAACAGTTCCCAAATCTGTATCTTCAGCCCAAAGTCTCCACTGAACTCATGACTCCTGCCAACACTTCCATCTGGACACCAAACAGGGATCTCAAACTAAAGCCATCAAAAAATAAAATTTCCGGACCCAGCAAATCCGAAAAACAAAGAAACAAAAACAACTGCTTTACCTGCACTCTTTCCAACTCAATGAATGGCACCTCTATAACTTCTAGTTATTCAAGTCAGAAGTTTGGAGATCATCCTCGAGTCCCCTCTTTCTGTATGCCCTACGCCTGTTCCAGTAGTAAATTCTAACAAAACTCACCTTCAAAGCATATCCACAGTCAGAACTTTTCTCACTGCCACCAGGACCAGCTTGGTCTAAGTCCCCATCATCTCTTGTCTGGACTGTGACACCAGCCTCCTAATTGGTCTCCCTGCCGTCACCCTTTCCCCACTACACTCTGCTTGCAACCTACAGCCACAGCAATCCTTTAAAAACACAACGTAGATCATGCTGCTCCTTCACTGAAAACCCTCAAATAGCTTCTTCCTGTATCACGCAGAGTAAAAGTCAAGGCCCTAAAATAACCAACAAAGCCCTGATGTGGCCCTCGGGGGCCTTTCTTATTACTCTAGCCTTTGCTCACTCAGCTGCAGACGCAGGGCCTCCTGTCCCTGTCTGAGCATAGCATACAAGCTCCTGTCTCAGATTCTGTGCACTTTTCTTAAAAAAAATTTTTATTTATTTTTACAGGGGATGGGAAGGAGAAAGAAAGGGAGGGTAATATCAGTGTGTGGTTGTCTCTCACATGCTCCCTACAGGGGACCTGGCCCACAACCTGGCCATATGTCTCGACTGGCAATTGAACTGGCAACCCTTTGGTTTGCAGGCCTGTGCTCAGTCCACTGAGCTACACCAGCTGGGGGTTATGTGCACTTTTTTCTCGGGAAAGGATGTAACATTACCAAAGGGCTGCTACACACACACTTTCCGTTTAGTACATCTAAAACAGGGGTGTCAAACTCATTTTCACCGGGGGCCACATCAGCCTCATTTTGCCTTCAAAGGGCCAAATGTAATGTTAGGACTGTATAAATGTAACTACTCCATAACAGTTAAGTGAGAGCTCGGTGCTGCTGCCGGGTAGAATCAAGGTGTGGGGCTGGATAAAACAAGGTGGAAGGCCAAATTCGGTGCCTGGGCCTTGTGTTTGCCACCTGTGATCTAAAAGAATTACTCATCTCTCAAACACCTGTATTCCAGTTTTCAGTAAATGACAACTTCTCTACCCTATATCTGGTTAGTTGCATCTGAAACCAGGGAATTGTCCTTGCTCCTTCATTTCCCTTATCACTTCTGATGCGTACTCAATCTATACAAAGTCCTAGTGCACCTGCCTTCTCACTGTATCTGGAATCTACCTATTTCTTTTTATAGCCACTCCCACAATTGTGCCACCAGCATCTCTTACTTGGGCCACCAAAAAAGCAACTTGTTCTTTTCTATTATACTCATCCAACCCAAATTCACTTTCCACAAAGTAGATTAATTTTTTAAAAATGCAATTTTGATCATGTTAATAACCCTGCAAAGCCTTTCAATGATTGCTCAATGTACCTAAGATAAAATCCAAAATCCTTAAAAAGGACCTGAGGGTCCTTCATAACCAGTCCTTCCTACTACCCCAACCTCAGCACCTCTCACATCACGCTCTCCTGTTGCACGGAAGCCACAGTTAGTCAGTTCTCCAAGTTCTTTCCACCTCATGGACTTTGCATATGGTGATCCCACTTACTGAACTGCTCTGTCTCCAAACCCCCTGCCAGGCTAACCATTCATCCTTCAGATCTCAGGTTAAATGTGACTTCAAGTTAAATGTGACTTCCTTAAAGGCCTTCCCAGCCCCACAAATAACGTTTGGCCCTCCCATTAGCCTCTCAGAGTCCCTATAATGTCTTTTTCCTTCTTAAAAGCGCCCTATGAAAGGCGAGTCCACATCTAACACTGCTACATCTTGCATGATGAAAATGGTGGTCGTGGTGGTTTTTGTTCATCATTTCATCCCAAGCACATCTAGCACAGTACCTGACATGAAAAAGCTCAAACATGTTTGTAGAACGAAGGAAGCTTTAAAGCACTATAAAAACACAATGCGCTTAGTTTAAAACTGGCCTTTAGGGCTCTATCCCCTAAACTACATTTCCTCTGCTTTAAATGCAGTCCTGAGAAAGCACACCTCCTAAATTTTCTCCTGAATCACATATGATTAGAAAACAGTCTCTCTCTTCTCCTGTCGGTTACCGCTTTGGAGAATGACAGCAAACAGCCACGAAAATTCAGACGCCGAACAACCCGACCTTCTAGGGGGCGTGGGCAAACACAGCACTTACCAATGAATGAACCTGTTTCTGGTGACGGATAACAACTTGCCACTTTCCACATAGTAGAAGCCTCCCGCGCTCTCACTGTATTTCACGGTTCCGGTCAAGACATTTGCAGTCCCTGCAAAAGGAGAGTGATCAGCCTGCACACATGGTTGCCTGGGGATGACAGGGACTGATGGCGCAGAGGAAGCAGAGGATGAAGGTCTGACAACCTATACAAAGAGAAGGGGAAAAAGAGAAGGAAGAAGTAGGACACTAAGGAAGCTCTGATCCCAGGTCTATAGCCATGTGGATTTAAGAGGATGAATTGGGGATCAGTGATTTAGGGATCCACGGGAGGAGCTTGAGGGGAAGAATAGGATCGCTCCCTCCTTGGCTGCTTCCGTACCAACGCTGCAAACTGTGAATTCCCGAAAGTGCCTTGGCCTTTCGCGCTCAGCACCGCTGAGCTCCACGAAGCTCCGTTCCAGGGATCCCGCCGCCGCCATCTTCCCGCCGCTGCCGCGGAGACCGACGGGACACCAGCGGGACCCAGCGGCTGTCGTCACTTCCGGGGGCGGGGCGGGCGGAGGCGCGGACAGATGAAAAGGCCCCGGGAGGAGAAAGGCGGTTCCGATCTTGAATTGCAGAGATCCCACCGAGTTGGCTGGAAGCAAGGGTGGGCAGGGAGGAACACCGAGAGAAAGGGGTAGGGGGAGCCGACTCTGCCTGCGGAACCTTGGCGCGGCTGGTCAAGACGCCTCCAGGGTGCGGTTCCCTTTTCCCGGCGGCCCCAGGGTAGTGGGGGCGGGGGCCCGGTTTGTTTCCATTTTTAAAAAGTCGGCGCGGGCTGCGAGTCTGAACTCCCTAGAGGGCGAGGTCCGGGGGACCGGGCAGATCAACGCCCTCTTCCGGATTCCGAGTTCGCGGTCCCCGCCTCTTGCGTCTGGGTGTCACTCTGTGAATCTCCACCTGGCCTCCTTTTCTTCGCCTTTCCCCGACACTTGGGGCCGGGACGAGGGGAAGTGAGGGGCAGAGGGTCCTTTTGTGTTGCATTTTTTTTTTCGGGAGACTATTCTGTATGATAAGACATAATGGATTTAATAAAAACATTGGTGCTGAGCAACCTACTGAGATTACTTAAATTCGGCTCACATGTATGTATGCGTGAAAGGAATGTGCTTTTCCTTCCACCCGTGATCTGAAGGTTGGGAAGATACTGCAGCTTAATCCGTATCTAGAGCTGCGTAGATGCACAATGTTGAGGAATATACTGATTTTGATGGGGAAAGTTTTTTTTTTATCCTTGGTAGAAAATGTTCGTTAAGCACTTCTGATACTACTTGTTATTACCAGTGACCACAACCCTTCTTTGTCTTTCTCTGTTTCATTCATCCTGTTCTGACCACATTTTTTCTCTCTGCAGCTCACTCCAGGATACCAACTCTAGCAATGCGATCCCTCCATTCTTTGTACAATCCACCTTTGGATTGGTTCTACCACCTTTTCGCTGTGTTTTACCTCCTCGATGTTTCCTTCTTGCTCTGCTTAAATTCTGTTAAACTACTCCCATGCCCAGCTCTGTTCAACATATTCTGGTAAAAACTACAACTGTGAGCCCTGGCTGGTGTGGCTCAGTGGATTGAGTACCGGCCTGCAGGGTTGTGGGAGTCAGGGTTGAGGGCCAAGTCCCCAGTGGGGGCCTCTGAGAGACAACCACACATTAATGTTTCTCTCCTTTTCCTCCCTCTCGCACTGTGATTAAGTATTGCACCAATGGAGCTTCCTGCTTTTTATATTCTCCCCACCCCCTTCTACTGGCACAAAAGAGGCATTCAGAAAGTATTTGATGAATGAGTAAGTGAATGAATGAATCCAGCAAGAATTGAGGCACTGAGTGGCATGGAAAAAGAGTAAATTTGGAGGAATGTTTAGGAGGTAAAGTCAGTAGGATCTTCTGTATGGGCATGAAAGGAAGAGAGAAGGTCAAGTCTAGGATGGTTCCTATGTTTTTCTCTTGGCAGCCAGGTGAATGGTAGATGCTGTTAACTGGTGGGAACAGTAGAGGAGGAGCAGATCTGGCGAACAGGAGAGAAAGCTGAGTTGTATTTCCTTGCAGGAACAATCAATACTGGTGGTAAAGGTTCTAATATTGCTGAATGCAAATGCTGCATTATTGAAAAGAACTACCACTTAAAATACTTTTCCTGAATCAGGATTTCAAGCTCCCGAGATTCCACCCAGATGATACAGAATAATCTCCCCATCTTTAGATCCTTAAACTTAATCACATTTGCGAAGTCCCTTTTGCTATGTAAGGTAACATACTCATAGCTCCCAGGGATCGGGACATGGGTATCTTTCTTTTGGGAGGGGTTGCTTTTTCTACCTACCATGTTTATGATTTACTAAATATGTCCCATTCTAATTTCATCCTCTAACTTCCTTATACGGTGGTAGTATTCCTGTAAGGTAGATAACTTTTCTCAAGCTCTTGTTAAAAATACAGTTTCCATCAGTTGTCAACCCAGAGTTCAACCTCACCGTTTCCCACTAATAAGGACAACCAGATGTGAAGTACCTCCTGGTGTGATACAAAGTGAAGAATACAGCATCATCTAAAGGGCATTTTTAAAACTTTGTTAAGATAATGTTCACATAAAATTCACCTCTCTGAAGTGTACAAGTCAATGATTTCTGTCTGTTGACCCAGTCCTGTGACCATCACCACAATCTAATTTTGGGACGTTTTTATCGCCCCAAAAGAAATCTCATAGTCATTAGCTATCACTGCCCATCTGATGTGGCCACTGGTAAGCAGTGTCCGCGGTGATGTGGATGAGACGAGGCAAATTCACATGGATTCTGAGTTCTGTGGAAGGAAAGGGGAGGGCACGCCAACCCTTGCCTTGATAGGCTTTTATTGCTTTACTAGGCACACTACATTGAGGATGGTCCTCATTTACTATGCACAGGTTCGCTTTAGGTGGTTACCTTTTACAGAAAATAAAGCAGAGGATGTTGCTAATTACATCACAGAAGAAGGATATTTGCAAATGCAAAGGAAAAAGTGGTTGAACTGGTTACACTCATCTTTGGAAGATTTAGCATAGATTTTAGGAAGTTACTTTAAAGACATGCAGTAAACATTTGCTGCCTCAATTCAAGGTGAGGGAGTTTTAGCAAAAAGCAAGTCTCAAAGTTGCCTAGGTACAATGCAGGCCTGATTTCCTATAGCAGAACCTATCCATGGGCGTGGATCCTGTGTGCTGGACCTCGCTTTCCACTGGCCTCTCCGAGTGGGAACTGGGCCCACGCCACACAGAACAGTCTCCTATATCCATCCTCTCCCCTCCCCAGCCAAAATTACTAATCTATATTTCTACAGATTTGCCTATTCTGGACATTTCATATAAATGGAATCATACACATTTGTGACCAGCTTCTTTAACTTAGCATAATGTTTTCAAAGTTCATCTTTGGGGTAGCATAAATCAGTACTTCATTCCTTTTAATGGCTGACAATAGTTCACTGTATGGATGTGCAACATTGTACTTACCCATTCATCAGTTGCTGAACATTTGAGCTGTTTCCACTTTTTGGCTATTGTGAATAATACTGCTATTAACATAGGAAGTATTCTTACCAAAAATGCTTAATCCAGATTGTGGTAGGCAGAATAATGGTCCTCCAAGATGTCTGTGTCCTAATCCCTGGAACCTGTGAATGTTACTTACATGGCGGAAGGACTTCGTACAAGTGAGTAGGTTAGGATGTAGAGATGGGGAGAGGGTCCTGGAACCTGCAGGTGGGCTCTGTCTAGTTACATAGTTCTTAAGAGGAGAGAGTGTTTGCCTGCTGAAGTCAGAAAGAGAGATGTGAGGACAGAGGAAAGGTCAGAGAGAGGTGACATTGCTGGCATTTAAGATGAAGAAGGGCCACAAGCAAGGAATGTGGGCAGCCTGCAGCAGCTGGAAGAGGCACAGAAACAGGTTCTTTAGAAGGGAATGGAACCCTGCCAACGCCTTGACTTTAGTCCACTGATTTTTGCTCTTAAGTGAAGGGGGCTACCTTGCCTATGGCTATGCTGCTTGCATCTAGTCAGTGGTCAATCGGGAAAGTCTAAAGGTCCTGCCCCCCAGCTTTGATGTAGGGTAACTGAAGGACCATCCTAGTTCCCACAGTGCTACGTGGGGTTGGGTGAGGCCTCAACTCCTTTTCTGCCCAATCCTGCCTCTCTTAGTCTTTCTGAGATGCAGTTCCTGAGATCACTCTCCAATAAACCTCCTGTGTGAAAATCTGTGTCTCAGAGTCCGTTTTCTAGGGAATCCAATATGAGACACACACACATGACATCTTATCTAAGGATGGGCAGCCAGTTGGGAACAGCAGGGAAAAAGAATTGGGAAAGGGAAAGAGTTTAGGGGAGGATCTATTCTAAATTGCAAAATTGGTAAGGAAATATTGGGGAAAAACATCAGCTGGGCATTAGGAGACAGTTCCAAGTTCTAGCTCTGTCTCAACTAGTCTCATCATTTGGCAAGCCCCCTAACATCTCTGTGCCTCGGTTTCTTAGAAGAGGGTGTTAAACATATTGATCTTCAAGCTCTCTTCTGGCACTGAAGCTCTAGGGTCCGTGGCTGACAGTCAGAGGCAGGCAGCATCTACACCTTCACCTCTCCATCTCTCCTTAATTTCCAGGCTGTGGACAGAGCCCGACCCAAAAGCTCCCCAGGACTGCCATGTGATCAGTGTGCATATTTAAGGTAGCCATATTCTTTCATACTTCTTTTTCTTAAAAAAACAAAAACAAAAACAAAAAACAAAACTGGTTGTTTCATTGATGAGGGCCTCTTACAGTTTCCTAGGAATCTAAGAATTACAGTTTTTGACAGTGAGCTGTCTCATTGCTCTTATCTTCAATATCCATTGGAATTCTCAGGATTTAAAAGTTCCTAATAAGTGTTTGAATGAATGAGTAAATGAATGAATAAATGCACATATGCATTCTTAGAAAACTCAAATACTTCTTGAACTATTCAGTTCTGGTTGGCATGGATGTAATCTACTGTATTTTGCCGTGCACAATGTGCTTCTGTGTATACTGCGCACCCACATTTTTGGCCCAAACTTTCAAGAAAATCTCCCATTTTAATTTTTTAAATTCAATTATTTATTTATTTGTATTTAGAAACAAAACCAACTATTGTAGTCAAGGGTATTATTTTGCTTATGAACATAGTTATTGCTTTCTAGAGTTACACTTTTAATGCATAAGGATAAATAAAAGAATTAAAAACATTTATATAGATACAGAATTAGTACTACCCATGTAGAATGTGCATCCGTATTTTTCCCTCAAAAAGTGGGCCAAAAAGTGTGCATTATGCATAGCCAAATACAGGTAAATGGAATCTTATTGCCATCTAGTGGTCTGGTGGTATTAGTAACTTCATTTAGAAACAAAATGTGGCATTTTACCAAGATTGTTGTTTGGGCAGCAAATGTGATTTACGGATACTTTCATGAGAAAAAAGTGTTTAACAACTGACGCCATATTCTGAGAACGTTTGGGTTTTCAGGATCACCCCTACAGGGTGTGCGGAAGTGAACAGTGTTATACATTGAACTTGAAAGCACATTTTCCTGAACTAACTTAAGGCTATTCCTCAAAGGAGAAACTTGGTTTAATAAGTATGGGAAATGATGATAAAGAAAGTTCAACATGTACTTTCCTGC